GATGATATCGAAGTCGGTAGAACAGCGTTCAGTTTTGCCGAGCAATTGAAGAAAGAACAACTTTTCAGGATAACTTATTTCCGAGTCTTATATCTATAGATGTTCTCTTCCTCTTCTTGCACAATAGCATCGGCGTTGCTTACGCAACCCAGAATTTGAGTTTTTTATCGAGATGACAAAGCGCTGGCCACAACAAAATTATACCTTTTGAACATTTGAACATCCTGCTTTGACATGCTATTCGTCATAGTCAACTCCTCCCTATCTTTTGCAAAAGAATTATAGATGAGACACTCATAGACTCATTGAATGTTAATGGGATATGCATTAATCTTTATATCATCCATTGGCTTTATCTCTCTAGGCTTTATTCTCGAAGCTTCTCATTCATTGATTCTCTGCAATTTTCACATTGATTTACTCGTTAGCTTTTGAATTGCAAACGGTTGTAATCATTTTGATTCGTAGTGCTAGAGAACATCAAACATTATTTTATTCGTGTTTAAAATTAGAGCAGAAAACAATAGAACAGAACCGTTATTTGCTGCTCTTTTCTGGATTGCTGTTTCCAAGCGCTCAATGCTCCATCTTTGTCAAAAGCGTAAGAGGAAGTCTCAGACTTTCTTTCCATCTTAACAAAAGCTTTTTCTAGTCAGTGGTGGTTTAATATTTGCTGCTGCGAAAATACTAGCTTCTGATGAAGAATTCACTTCACTACTATTATTCCTTTGTATAAAGAGCGGAGCGTGGAAATATGTCAATTGACAAGTCCATAGATTTTTTGAGCAATTGCTTTGCACTTCTATCTTGATTGGTCTTATTCATTTTGCTACTGCAAAGTCACGTAAGAACGAAGTTGAAGGGGGTGGTGAAGCGAAAAGTCAGAAACTCTAAATTACTTATGTTGAATTGATCGTATGATTATTCCGAGCATACTATAGTTACAGGCACTATTTGTTTAGGTAGGGAGGAGGAGGGGGGGGGGAAGGAGAGGGATTACGTCCTTTATAGTCCCTCATAGTGGATAAGTGTGCCCTTTTTGAAAAATAAATTAATGAACAAGAATATTGAAGGCGGAAGTTTTTTTAGTAATCGTGTCTGTCGCCCTTTTTGGATGACAAATATAGGGTGTCCTAGAAATGTGCCTAGCGTTTGATCTTCAATAACTTATCTTGTTATCTTTCGAGAAGCACTGGATAACATTCTATAGAGCCGACTTCAACTTAGATTTACAGTACAAAGCGTATTACCGCTCTATTTTTTACTGTAGGATTACGGTAGGAACTTCGAGGAGGGTTTTGCGTCATTACGGGTCGTATTTATTTTACCCCTTAAGAGGACTCAAGAAGCTGAAAACTCCTACACTGGGCTAATCAGAATCATTTTTTTAGATATGAAACTCTCACTTCACCTTGCGCTTTTTGTAAGTTATACACACATTCAATAATAACCTTCAGATATTCGTCAAAAATCTGATTACGCAATTCAAACGAGCAAAAAGTTATATAGTAAAATCGACATGCATGAAAGACTTGTTACACAATTTTTCAGATTCTTTTGGAAGTTGTTTTGGAGAAGTGGCCCATCTCACAGTAGCACCATATGCTGAGAGTTCCTACCGTAATCTTACGGTAATGAAGAAGAATCGGTAATTTGCTCTATACTGCAATTCTAGGGTGAAGCTAGCTCTACAAAACGGTACCTAAAACTTCTCGGCAGTTGCTCAAACAAGGGAGTTTTAGCATTCAAAAACTAGGCACATTTTCGGGACACCATGTCTGCTGCCATAAAGGCAGTGTCCCGGCAGATTTTGCACTTCCACCTTTCTGCATGTTTTAGGCCTTTTCTCCACGTAGAATCCGAATCCGAGCTTTGAACGGGCTGAAAAGGCCGATTTTGGGGCGTTTTCCCAGTTCCAAAAAAGCAGCTCGGACAGATTTTTTATGGAAAGTTGGGAGGTCCTCACACGAAGACCCTGCCGCCTGTAATTCTTGCTTTGTATAGCATGCACAATTGCGGAGAGCGGTCGTGAGGTCCCGCGCCGAAGAGACAAGGAAGCCGTCCGAGCGCGCGCCGATTAGGGTTGCGCGCGCCGGTTCAGGGGCCCTTTTTTCGGCCCAGGGGAAACATCGACCAGCCGGACTGCACCTGGAGGTCAGTGGGGTGACCAGAAATCTCACCACACTTATATCGCCCAGAACGCGAATCTGCCGGGACACTGCCTTTAAGTTAAATCAAATTCTTATCACCTCATTGAGTTTATTAAGTACATAAAAATAGCTAAAACATAAACTGACAGTTAATTTGGTTTGCAGGAATCGCCTCCAATATTTAGCCGTCTTGCATTTTTTATGGATTTTCGTGCTTTACGTTTATTCGAAGAATTAACATAATTTTTGTTTATGAGCAAATCCAGTCAATCCCTGCTACTTCAAAATCCTACAAAGCTTGTACATTTTACGCCAAATATTTCATCGGTTTTGGCTTCTGTCGTTTATTTCTACTCATTTTAACCATCTCTTTCGCCAAATATCATAGAGAGTCTGTTCGTGACCTATTAATCTATTGAATGCAGTCATCATTTCATAAATGGAACTAAGGTTTTGATTCATTTCTTGCTTTGTGCTGTTGCAGCCCTTGTAAAAGTCTCCGGCACTGATTCACACTTGTCTCTTCTTTGCTGCCATTTCCGACATCACTTTTCAATTGTTAAGAGCTAAAATATATATGCTAGGCCCTAAACTGTGTACACTTCACCTTGGCAATGGCAAACATAGGTTTTGCTTGGCAATTGCCATGAACTTTCTCGCTAGCTTAAGCTTCATATCTTCGTGCACATATAATGTGCATTAGACTCGTACGGATTAATTTTATGACTTCCTGCGTAAAAGAAAGAGCCAGGGGCAAGCATTTGTGAGAGTTATCGGATTTTACCTACTAAGTCAACAACTGGTACGTCATTAACGTGACGTCTTTGCCGAAAAATCAACTTCAGTATATTTGTTCATTCTTTCTCAAATTATTTGCATTAGTTTAGTGCCGGGTAGAGAACCCAAGTGTCTCATAATTTTTTAGTTCAACGAAAATCTGCTATTTGAATTCTAGGACTATGTCCGTTAATCTTAATACGTTGACGACAGCGCCGCGCAATGGCGCGGCACCCCACATTCCAATGCTAAGGTATGCAATCGCGCTAATTTGTGTTGACATAATCACTTCAGTCTAAGGGGTATTTCATGTTGGTCCCGCCCCGATTTTGTCAAGCTCCGCCCACTCCGTTGCCATCTGCGAAAAGACTTTTCCGTCCTCGAATCGCAAAGAGGCCACAGACGCGGGACCTCAAACGACCTCAACGTCGGCCCGCCCCCTATTATATTAGGTTGAACCGAAAGTTCTGTCGCACCATTTTCAAAAAATCATGACTTCTTTCCCTCACGGTGATTTTGCGCAGTTCCAATTTTGTCAGAAAGCGAAAAGCATGTAGTTTCCAAAAGTTCCTTGGGAGCTTTTCAATATGCTCAGGTTGCAGAGATAAAAATGAAAGAACGAGATTATCCGAACTTCGGAATTTTTAAGCAGAAATTCTATAAAGCTACAAACTGTGCGATTGAATCCAGAACAGCCACCATCTAAAAATTTTTTATATTTCATCACTAACTGAGTTAAGTTTGTGCTGATCGAGCCCTTCTTTCAAAAGTTGTGATTTTTTGAAAAAAAATGCCAAAAAATCAATTTCCTAAGATTTCTTAAGAAATCGATTTATCGGCATTTTTTTTTCAAAAAATCATAACTTTTGAATGAAGAGCTCGATCAGCACAAACTTAACTCAGTTAGTGATGAAATATAAAAAATTTTTAGATGGTGGCTGTTCTGGATTCAATCGCACAGTTTGTAGCTTTATAGAATTTCTGCTTAAAAATTCCGAAGTTCGGATGATCTCGCTCTTTCATTTTTATCTCTGCAACCTGAGCATATTGGAAAGCTCCCAAAGAATTTTTGGAAACTACATGCTTTACGCTTTCTGAAAAAAATTTGAACTGCGCAAAATCACCGTGAGGGAAAGAAGTTATGATATTTTGAAAATAGTGCGACAGAACTTTCGGTTCAACCTAATATATTCTCCGCCCTCACGATGGCGAGCTCCTCCCACTTTTCAATGCTGGGATTTGCACTAATTCTCGAAATATAAGCAGTATTCAGCATTTTTTGTCGAGTGGGAGGGGCTTGCCAAAATGGGGCGGAGTCCCACCCCCTGTAATTTTGCCCTTCAGACTAAATGCATGTTCATAAATGCAGCCACGCTTAGCAGGAAAACGGCTCGTCCACAGGGGCAGACATCAAAAAAAGGCTCGTCATCAACGTGTCAAAGCGACACAGGGTCTAAAAATGATTTTTTGGAAATTAGATTTTCATATGCTCAAGCAATTTGAAATTTATCTCTAAACTTGAATTGGGTGTTTGTGGCAATTCGCATTCAAACATCTGTAAAAAAGGCTAATCCATCTAAAGTTTGAATCATTGTAAAATATTTGAATAAATAAAAATCGGATCCTTCTTCGAAAAGCCTTCATTTTTCTATGGCTGGCTATCAAGAAGCAAAAGTGGGCCAAGAAAGCGAGAAAATTTCTTTTTTGGAATTTTATCAAGTCGATATTTCTTGGGGACTGGCTTCCGCACAAGGTTATGAACGATCCTACAAGATTTGCTCTTATATCAATGATTTCCTAATCTGAACTTGAAAATAACAAGTTTTTTAAATTTGAGAGCTATGAGACACTAACAGTCAAATGTCTTCCTTATTTCCTCATTAGAGTTGTGTCAATGCGTAAGCGTTCAAAAAGAATTATGGCGACGTTTCTAACTCACTCTTTTTCAGCGGCGCTAGTAAATTCCTTAATGCCTTCTATCCTCAATTATCGCCGTGGGAATTCGTCATCATTTTTTGAGAACAGAATATAGCTTATTTTCAGTGTAGAATCTTCTAAACTGCCGATGTGAGCATGTGGCGAGGAGAATTTCAACGAACTCGACGTCGAATACGACGAACCTTTTTGGTGCCAGCACTGGCTACCTTGGCTGCTTGCTTCGGCCTGGTTGCTGTTTCGGTGTCTACCTACCGAGGTAAAGAAAATATGAATCACCTCAATTTTCTGCAAGAACTGCTCACTAGCATGCTCAGAACGAAAATATCTCCGACACGCCAAGGCGGCTAGTTTAAAATCTACATTTCCAGAAATGAGCATCGTTCCAATAGCCCACCGTCGAGTAGCTCGAGCAGCTAGTTATGCTGAATGTTTGCGAAGAAAGCTAGGTGAGAAATTTTACGTATTCTTCGTCTAAAAGAGGGTCTTTTTTTATGCAAACAAAAGTTTTCCAGCCGCAAACGAATCCTCAGAGCAATTTCCGCCTGATCTTTTCACCTTGGAACAACGAAGGCATGGTGCTATAATTCTTCACCTCGGCGGACTAGTCTATATGTTCGTGGCATTGGCAGTCGTATGCGATGAATTTTTCGTGCCGAGCTTGGCTGTCCTTATAGAAGTGGTAAGTAATGGTCATCAAGCTACAAAACAGTGCGTGGGCAAAATGAGGGTCCCGAGATTTGATTTACATGATATTACATATTCCTCTGACGAAGGAGTTGATTTAGCTTGGCATTTCCGAAGACGTAGCTGGTGCCACTTTCATGGCCGCCGGTGGATCTGCACCTGAATTTTTCACTTCGGTATTTGGTGTGTTTGTGGCTCAGAACAACGTTGGTATCGGTACCATCGTAGGTAAGGATTACTACCGGATATGTTTATCTATCAGTTTCAAGCATCAGCACCCGCTGATTGTTCTAATCACTCTAATACCATTACTCTATGGTTTCAATTCATTCATTACTCTCCAGTAAATCAAAAACTGCAGTTGAACATTTTTCCTATACAAACATTTGTATGTTCAATTATCGATCTCATTCTCATCTACTCAATTATTCATTCTCTACTTTTTTATTCGTTTCCCTGCTCATCAACAAAACTTTTCGCTCGTTCGTTTTTTGAGTTGGCTTATAAACAGTTCGCTTTAACATGCAAACAGGAAACTTTCTAACAAATGAATGACTGTCAAAATTTTTGTGGAAAGTCAGGGCCAGTTTCAAACCTCTACTCTCACTTAGCAATCGTTCAGAATCTTCCGTCAAAAATAAACGACGTCATGCCTCAATTTGGTTAGCCTCTAAATCGTTTTTTTCGACTTCTTAGCATTCGTTTATAGCCTGTAGCGACTCCAAAAGAGTTTTATTATTACTCAAATACGTACAAGCTTTCGTTGTATGGCGAACTGAAATAAAATTGTGATCTGCAATTTCAGTTCATTTTCATTTCAGTTTAAAAATATGAAAAGTTTCCGATTTGCTCGCGGAAGTTTTTTGATCAGTACTGGCTTGAGTTGAATCATCTTTGAAAATGTGGATGCCTTCGAGTATCAGAATTGCATGTGTACATACCAACTTTGTATTTGACATGCAATTTCAGTTCATTTTGTGCTGCATAATTTTTCGAAACACGCGAAATCTGAGCTCTCCACTTTCATGCACCATCTCGTCATTAAACAATTTCTACTCATGCAATGTTGACCATATGATTCTCCTCAGTGCGAGAAGTTGGTAATATTCCAACAAGTCGTCAAAAAGGATCGAAAATATTCATTATCCAGTCTTGATAAGTCATAAGACACAACCATCAATACAATACCGCTCACAGAATGTGCAAAATTTCCGTAAATGTCGCAGAATTCCGAGAATTCCGCGAAGGTTCGCGAAATTCCGGGAATTTTGCGACATTCCCGGAATTTCGCGACATTCCCGAAATTTCGCGAAATTCATGTAAATCACGCAAATTACGCAGGGCCATAACTTCGTTCCGAATGAGTATATTCAAAATCCGAAAACAGCATTGTATTCAGCTCGTCAAGGCGAATCTTTTGGTATACAGGTTGTCTCCAATATCCTCTTTTCAATAATCTTGAATCTGCATGCGGACGCCTTTTCGCGTGGGTGTAACGCAACAAGCATCACACATAGGAGATTGCGGCGGGTACCCTTCAATAGTACTCTTTCAGTAGATTATTCTGCGCTAAACAGCAGCCGAAGACTCTCTTTTAAAAGAGATAGAAGAGCTGATAAACTCTGGAAAAATCAAGCTGTTCCAAGTTCTACTAGCCGTAACTTCCTTCAGAATGAACATCTTTGAAATCCGAAAACAGTATTGTGTTCAGCTCGTTAAGGCGAATCTTTCGGTATACAGCATGTCCTTGAAATTCCATTTCCAATTTTTTCAAAATTTTCTGCGCGCGTATATTCGCAAGGTCGCAACGCAGCGCACATCAAACATAAAAGACTCCAATAAGCACTATTGGATTGTGCTGCTTCCGCAGATTACCGAGCACTAAAAACGAACTGGAGAATCTTTTTCGAAAAAGATAGAAGAGCTGGTGAATTCTGGAAAAATCGTGTTGTGTCAAATTTTGCCTACTGTAACCCTAAAATGGGAAGCTCTCCTGCTAAGCAGATGTGCTTTTCGTAATCAGCAGGTCAGATAACCTCTATGAGCAAGTTTTCAAAGAAATTCGGGTGATTTGATTTTTTCTCGTTCTACGCCCTGAAGCTCGCCGATGGGTTTTGGTCAAGATGTCGATGATCTTGGATTATAAGGAAACTTCGCTCAAAGAGGTTATCTGACCTGCTGATTACGAAAAGCACACCTGCTTAGCAGGAGAGCTTCCCACGCGAAAAGGCGTCCGCATGCAGATTCAAGATTATTGAAAAGAGGATATTGGAGACAACCTGTATACCAAAAGATTCGCCTTGACGAGCTGAATACAATGCTGTTTTCGGATTTTGAATATACTCATTCGGAACGAAGTTATGGCCCTGCGTAATTTGCGTGATTTACATGAATTTCGCGAAATTTCGGGAATGTCGCGAAATTCCGGGAATGTCGCAAAATTCCCGGAATTTCGCGAACCTTCGCGGAATTCTCGGAATTCTGCGACATTTACGGAAATTTTGCACATTCTGTGAGCGGTATTGTAAATTCCGTCAATCTGTTGTACATTCATTTTAGCCATTACGATTTGATTTCTTTTTATAATATTGCTATTTACTACGAATGTTCTTCCAGGCAGTGCAACTTTCAACATCTTATGTGTTCTTGCTTTCTGTACCTTGTTCTCCCGAGAAGTCCTTCATCTAACATGGTGGCCATTGTTCAGGTATATTATGCAAATCTTTTACAGAACCTTCCCATTTTGCAAATTTCAGGGATATGACATTCTACATAATCGCTTTGCTATTCTTAGTGATATTCTTCTCTGATGAGAAGATATCGTGGCATGAAGCGCTCACTATGTTCTTGATCTATATCATTTACGGAATATTCATGAAATATAACACACAGGTGGAGATGACTGTGAAGGCGTTTTTGAAAGGGAATAGGACATCGCAAATGAATGTGAGTGGCTAGGAATCTTTGCTAATTACTGTTAAGAAAAATATCAGCTCAGTTATCAACTTGTTTTTGTTGACAAACAAACAAACTGTTTAGTATATAAAGAATCGTAACCGAAATTCAAAAAACATCAGATAGCGGGAAACCGCGGTGCGGTCTCGAAGCGCATGAATTCAATCTAGCACCTTTAATTTGTTCACCAATCCAAACATACGAATGGGTGAAAACAAGCGCAAAATTCTGTGTCAGGCTACTGCAGAAGGACTGTCCGATTTGAATTTTCAAATTTGAAACATCATAACTTCCTTCAAAATCATTTTTCCATAATCTTAGTTTCTATGTGTTGAGCTGTGAAAGGAGTGCTATTTTCTGCGAAAAACCCTTTTAAGGAAGAAACAAGAACTCAGAAATTTCACACAGCGTTCTTCTTCTTCTTTGAATGTGCCTTTTTTGACATGACAATGCTCAGTTACGAGAACTGAGCACCTAAAGTAGCATTCTATAGTTAGAAAGTTTCGAAGATTATCACACAGCCCGAAAGTTTACATAGGAATTCTCGGTGCGAAGGGATTTTTTCGACCGAATAAAAACGAATTCGTTTTTCACTCTCATTTTAGTACATGTATGTATGCCAACTTTCAAATTAGGAAAATTTTACACTTGCCGAGAGGTGACAAGTAACTGATGGCTGGACCCTGCTAGCTCTTGCTTTACTCTAGCACGTCCAACATTAGACTCATCGATTATCTCTATTCACGGAAAGTTATTGTTTATAGGATTTTTGTACAAATAATTATGCTTCGACAACAAATTTTACTAGCAAGACGTTTTTCTACATGAAGTGAGCTTCTGCAAAGACTGTTTCACTCTTATTCCATGATCAATACAAGAACTTGACTTGTAGAGCATTGTGTAGATTTTCTCGCAAGAGCATTTTCTTGGCTGAGAACGTGTCTTGACCATCTGGGGTTCATAGGTCTGCAATCTCATCAGACTAAAGATTTTACTAAAATATGATATGTGTTAGAAAGAGCGAGAACAGCGCCTTCTAAAGATACAAATAATATCGCACTACGAGTGAAAATCTCCTAAAACGACTGCTTCAAACACAAGGCAGGAATCGAACAGAACTTATGCAGCAGCCTAGTATAAGAGGTCATTCGTTTCAAAATGTAGAAGTCTATAGAAAATGTTTCTCAATGGCTGTTCAGGAGAATTTTTTTTTGACAGCGAAGGAATCGTTCTTGGACGAAGAAGCATCCATTAACCCTTCAAAAATGTTTACGCAAGACCACTTTAGTTCTTTTCTACATAACCTCTACTAAAGATAATTGATTTCAATTATCTTTAAGTGAACATGTCGATTGCACAATTTCAAAGTGGACTGTGAAAAGCTACTTTTTAGAAAGAGAAAAAGGATGTAGTTTGCGGCTTGGCTGAGGAGACCAAGTAGTCTATAGTGACGTGCATTTCGTGCTTCGACCAAAACATAATATTTGAAAAATGCGTTCTATTTAGTCCATTGCATCACCGTCTGACGTTGGTCCACAATACAATCGCGAACATCGTAGATCCATCCCTATGATCCATGGTGGAACACAACTGAGAAACGGACTTGCTCAAATGGCAATTGGAAGTGACGATGAAGGTGGTGAGCGCCGTACTACAATTATTAGAATTAAAGTAGTAAATATCTTCTTTAGTTTTTATCTTTGTCTTATGCGCTTCTCGTCAAATAGTACATTAGAAGTTTGTTACAGAAAGTTTGAGAAGCTATAGAGGGTATTCCAAAGACAAGTCCTCAGTGTAACTAGTTGATAACTCTTTTGCTTCAGCGTTCATTTTTCTTTTAGGGTAGCATTCTTTAAAGTTGGCTTACTTAAACTTGCAGTACAAAGCGCATTTACCGATCGATCTTAGCGTAGGATTACGATAGAAATGATACAGCGCCCTTGTGAAATAAGGCATTTGGAAAATTTGCAAAAAATTTGAAAAGTTGAGTGGTAGGGCTATGCTTATTTCACTATCTTTTTGTGAGTTTCTTTTATCTCTGAACAGTGTAGTCACATTTTTAGGGACTGGCAATGTTTGGGTTGAAACTCACTTTCTAGCTTTACAAACGAGAGATACCAGCTTAGGTGTTCTGACTGAGGGCGAGATGTATATCCAGATGCGTATTTAGAAGTCTTTTTGCTGAACAACTCCGAGAGAAGTTATCAGCCGTGACATGTCCAAATTTGTCAAACTTTAGTGGCATAAAATTAGTAAAAAGCTATACAAAATCACCTGAAAGCGGGTACTCAATTTTGCATTAAATATGTTATAGTGGTCTCGGCTCATAGGTACCTCCGCGGCGCATATGCAAAGCGGGAGTCTCTCAATCTCTTTCCGAAGTACTTGTTTCGGGAAGATTTCTATCTTTTACTTGTCATAGTAACATTTCTATTTTCTTCTTTTTGTTTGTTCTTTTTTAATATATAGGGTTATATTAGCGTACTTTAAGCATGACTAGTGTACATTCTTGGATCTGTATTTCACCATTATAGAACTTCGTCAAAAATTTTTCATCTCACAGGTAAGCAGGCAAATGCAAGCCTTCACTATTTACATCAACACTTCTTTAATGGGTAAGGTCTACAAAGATTTAGATTGGCACTCACCTAGGTAGACTAGAAAATTGCGAAAATTAGCATGAAAGAAACAAAATGTTGGAACCCCATTTCTAGTAAAGAAACCAATGAATAAGAATTTATTAAAAGCCAGGTAATAAGTAATAGATCGTAACGGGGAAAAACAGCGGAGGTCGAGTGTCATGGGTTGAGACTCTGGATGGGTCGCGTCTTTTTCTTTCCCTTCTCCTTAGTCTTCGTCTTTTTGAGTTGCTCGCGCCATATTACGATCTCAGCTCCGCGGCTTCCTCTAAACAGCCGTGTTATAACTGTGCTCCATTACACCTTTCACTCGAAAGTCTTCAAAAAGAGCCGGTGGCCGGAGCTGCACCAAAGATTAGTAGTGGTCAAGTACGGATTTTACCTGACAACATCGCGTCACTGCGACATTCATATGCCCTCGATCGTTGAGGAAATTTGTTCCCTCGGGATCGATGTGCGTCTTGGTAATTAGCAGCACTACTACCTCCTTTTTGCATTCTGGACTGCATTGTTGACAGGGTGGCTCCTTGAAGTGCCAAACATCCCTAAAGATGCCCTTTTTGCCGGTAGTTTCAGCAAGGATGCCGTGTGTGCAGAAGGCTCAGTGGTAGAATTTATTCTCTATCTATCTTCACCATTCAGTTGCCTTCATATATAGGGAGAGCACTGGAAAACATTACACAAAGAAAGAAGCAAAATGCATGGGAAAGATATAAAGCATGTCAACATGAGCGATTGAAACAAATAGAAAAGTATTTTAGAAAGCAAAACAGCCGGTCGTGGGATCTCCCACGGCACTCCGGCGCATCAAAGATGAACAAGCATAACGAAAAAGAATATACATCAATGGAAACCAGGGGCAGGACCGGAAAGGTGGCGGTGACTTGACGAGTAGGGGAGAGCTAAGGTGGTGATGGTAGTAACGTTTGTGGAGGGCTGGCGGTGGAGTTGGTGGCGGCATTTGAGGAGGGCTGGCCGTGAAAGCAGAATATTGGAAGTCGACAGGTAGAATATTAGAATGGAGGAGACGACATGATTGGACGCGCGGCGGTTGGTAAATGAAGTGCACTGAATATCATGCATTTCGGCGGCGCGGTTTACATTTTGCGCCGCTTCGCCGAAGAATGCGGCGTTTTGATGGGGCTCAAGAACACGTTGTGCTCTCCACTACAAAAACTGCTGCTGATTGCGCAGTCTTTCTCATGACGTGGCTGGGGGCATTTATCGCAGAGCTGGAGGGGGTGACTTGTATGGCCCTTGCTATGGTGTCTGGATAGCGAAAACTCCTTCCCGTTCGATGGCAATCCTTGTTATCCTCGTACGTGCAAAAACCGCACTTCGATCGCTGTTTGATTCTTTTAAGATTACAGCGATTTTCTGGTCCATGCCTTCGATGTGGGCATTGAGCATATCTGACAGTTCCTGGATTCTTGACTGGGTGGCGAAAGCGGCGGCCGTGACGTCGTTTCTGATCTTCTTGAGGGAGTCCTTCTTGACTTGACACACCTGAGATTATGCAGGTTTCTGACTTGCAATGGAAGGCCCAGTTTGTATGCGAAGTGTTCTTGTATCAGTGTTTTTTGGGCTCCGGTGTCAAAGAAGAATAGCCTCCTCAAATTTTTCGGAGTTGTAGTTCTGAATGTTTCCGGACGCAGTAGAACGATTTGCTTTTTGTGTTTTTGTTCAAGAGGTTTGGTTTCAATGCTTGTGTGATTCGCAGTACTATTCTACTCATTGTTTAGGGCAATATTGTATTGCCGGCAATATTTATATTGTTGACACCATCTGATTCATAAGCATAGCGATCTTATCGTACACATACTCATTGCTTTGAGGAGAACCAGCTGGTGTCTACTTTGTGAGTTCTTGAACAATGCGCATTCTATTAATCGGTCTGTTCTCGTACTTCTTCTTCAGTGTATCTATCATCCACCCATATTTTTAGCTTTTGTTCCTATTGATTTGAATCTTTTCTGAGTACTTTTGTTCCATCGCATGCGAATTTCGAGATTAGTGTCTTCAGCACGTTGACGCAATGTTATTGGCTTTCCATAAATCATTGACTCCATCCCTCTATGATTCGATGGGGATCTCCGCGGGCCACTTATGTCGGCAAGCTCTAATATATTGGTTGAGCAAGCAGATTTGTTTTTTGTTGATGCACCAAAAATGTGCAGACGATTAGCCTGCCTTACTTGAAGCGTTTGCATGTTTCCCTCTACGTGTCAACGCTCTCATACACTGTTCCAAGGTTTTTCAGGACTTTATAAAAATTTATGGTCCAGTTGATGTAGGGTCAGTATCAAATGCTATACCTCGGCTATGTAGCGAACAACGCCGATATCGGCTTGGGCGAATCGTAACAAAGTGTTCTTGCGCCACCGCCGTGTCCGTCGAACGCGCTTGAAGCTAAGGTAATTTGTTGTTTTCTAGTACCAGGGCCTGTTGCTGATCGTCTCTAAAGTGTAGCTGTCGACCGTTGATTGTTTTTGTGACGGTGTCTATGACTGGGACTTCCCCATCCTGCTCCGCCTCTTCGTTCGCTTCGTCGTGCATCCAAGTGTGGCTGCTCCATACGCGCGATGCCGATGAGCGTAATATCTTCTCTCGCTTCCCGAAGATCCTCATGAATGTTATCCGTGTTATCGGTTCGAATGCCGGGTTGGTCTTATCTGGGGTTGGTGCGAGCTTGACGTAGAGGGGAAGGAATGTAGTTTCTTCGACTTGACTTCAGTGAAACGTCGTGCGACCCTAATTCGTACTCCGACCGGTCCATGCTTCGTCCATCTTGTCTCTGTTGACCACTTGTGTCACCAGTGGATTTTCAATAGTGGAAATAACTTATTAGGAAAGGCGTGAATAATGGAAATATGTTTATTGCTAAGTAATAGGTAGTGGATCGTAAGTGGAGGAACAACAAAGGTCAACTGTAGTGGATTAAGAGTACCGCTTCGGATAGAGTCGCTCTACTTTCTCTCTCTTCTTCGCCTCTTTGAATTGCTCGCGCGATATCAGCTCGATCTCAACATCTCCGACGGCGGCGTTTTATAAACAACCATATCAAAACTGTTCTCCCTTACAAACATTAGCTATGCAGAGGCTATATATGTCGTGAGCTGGCTTGAAATTCAGAGCTTGCTCAAACGAACAACAAAGAACAAGTTTGAAGTAAGATGTCTCAAAAGAATGGTTTCTAAGGAGTTGAAGGCAGCGTGGTCGTGTGCTGCGTGTACTACGTCGCTGGGGTATCTGTAAGAAACTAACCGGGACACGATGTAACAATGAGAAAGAAACATAGCCAGTGAGATCTGCATAGGCGTTTCTGAGCTTTTCGCTCATTTTATACCACTTGAAGCTCAACAAATTAGGACATTTAAACGCTCGTAGCTTTTTTCGGAGAGTTGCTCTACTAATATAGAAAGCATATTTGGAATCAGCATTTTCTTTGATCCCCAAGTTGAATTGGTATCCTTCCCATTTACCTCACTGGTGTCATCCGTTGCAGAAATTTGCGTTAGCGTTCTGCTTGACAAGCTTTCAAAGTTTACGTTGAATCTGGATAAGAATAGTTCCTATGGCTATTTTGCTGCAGAACCCTATGGTCTCACTTATGGCGGCATATGCATTTTGCCGCTGAGGAAGAAATTCGCAAGCATGCGAGACACTCCTAATACGTATAAGCAACTTCCGAGCAAACTTCTTGCTTCAACGTTATGACTTCGTACTGCGCGATGGCGTGGCCGTAGGCGTTCATTTCCACATAGCATTGGGCTGGGTTCATACTGGTCAGATGTTCCGGAACAGTCCCAGCACAGTTCTCGCACTGTGCTGGAACTATGCCAGGACTTACTTCAAACTGCATGCGCAGTTGAACCGAAGCTGGATAAAAAAACGCTGTTTTGTCCCATGTGTATGTTCCGGATATTTGGAACAGAACAACGTCCATTCTTCAACCCCGCTTCCAAGTACGAAGCTTTTCTCATCTCAAAAAGAAGCGGGATAAGCAATTTGAGGGGAGATAAAATCTGAGAGAAAAGACGTTAAAAACGATAAAAAATCTTCAACTCCCGCCGCTTCAGACCGCATGCGGGCGGCTGCAGCGCATGCTGCACAATTCAGGCACAGTTCCAGCACAGTCCTCGCACTGTGCTGGAACTGTTCCTGAACATTCGGATTGTTATCCAGCCTTAGAAAAGTAATATATCTAATTGTAAATTAAAATGTGTATTCTACATCAAAAGCATATAAGAAGTGTGTCCGATATGGTGGCATTTTGTGATTAACTATGCATCAGTTAAGTAAGTTGATGACGAAGTTATTATAGGAGCTGAAATATCAACATTTGTCAAAAATGTCAAGTGATATGTGGTCTCCTCGGTAACGCTGTTGCATCCAAGCTCGAGGTATATGTTTCGAGAGGTGCAAAGATTCAAAGTTAAAGGCAATGTCCCGGCAGATTCGCGACCTGAGGGATATTGCTATGGTGGGGTTTCTGGTCACCCCACTGATCTCCAGGCGCAGTCCGGCTGGTTGATGTTCACACTGGGCAGAGAAAATAGCTTTTGAACCAGCGCGCAACCCCAATCGGCGCGCGCTCGGACGACTTTGCCTACCGTTCGGCGCGGGACCCAACCGCTCTTCCGCATTCTGCATGCTGTTCAAAGCAAAATTCACAGGCAGCAGGGTCTTCTGTCAGGGCCTCCCAACTTTCCATTGAAATTCTTGTCTGAGCCGCCTTTTGGCAATTGGATAAACGCCCCGAAAAATGTCTTTTCACCCGTTTCAAAGCTCAATTTCGGAGTCTACGGGTCGAAAAGTCCCAAAACATGCAAAAAGATGGAAATGCAAAATCTGCCGGGGACACTGGCTTTGAAGTGTGAGCGGAAGAGTGTGACTGAGGGTAATAAAATGCGAAATATAGGATAAATACTATTTCATATATCACTGATTGAAGACGTCATATAATTGTATTCCTTTTTGTATCGTTGCGATCTGATCAAACCCTCTTCAATCAAAGTTTTACTTCTCTCTATATCTCTTTCAAGTTTTCTAGAATTTCTGTTAAGCATACTACTAAAATACTTATTGAAGTGGTTGAAACCCTGATTAATGCATTGTTTACTCAGAGAGTGAAACAACACCCAATGAAAATGGCAATGTGACTCAGGTGCAGACCATAAATGTGAAACCCGCTAGCGAAAAGATGTTCGTGAAGACCAGTAAGTGTCTTATGGACTTTTGATTTTGCAGTAATTTCGCAGCTTTTATTTGCCATGGTTACGAATTTTGGGAATTTTATTGTTTGCTTCATTGATATGACTGCTTCATTGATATGCTTCATTGACTCCGAAGGTCCTTCATCCACTGCACTTTTATTGCTTGAACAGTTGAAGCTTTGATTTGTGGGAGTGGATGAGAAAGACTGGAAAAATGATGTGTGCGTCAAAAAATGTTGGAAATTGACTCAGCAAGAGATGCACTCGATGAGTTTGTCAGAAACCACTGCAATTATATGATTTCAGACAACCGCACGATCACTACCGTTAGCGCGGCCGTGGATGGACATGGCAACAAGGTTACACCAATAGAGAATCCGACACCAAAGCCGCAGGTATGACAGTCGAGAATCACATGGTTTTGGACAATTTGAAGTATTGCACCGTTGATAGAGATATTTAAGACGGCCAAAAGTACTGAAGCTTACAAGAAAAACTGAGTCTCTTACAATTATATCTGTGCTAGCTTAAAACATGCTGAATCAGAACATAAATTTTGCAGAGAACTGTCCAGAATGGCAGTGGACAGCAGCAACCATCAAATGGACTACCTCTGCCACCACCTGACAAAGTGAGTCAGCGGAATTTCAAACTTGTGTAGTTAGCAACTATATTGGGTTGTCTAGAAAATATCGTTGCACCGTGTTTATCACGCATTACGCTGCAGGATGAGCACGAAAAAACTGACTGCGGCACTAGTCAATAGACCGAAGCGAACTCTAAAAAGGTGGACGTTAGATGTTTGCGCCAGGCTCGATTTGCATCAAGTTTGTACTCAAGTTTTAGAAAGCACAAAGGCCTAAAAAGAGAAAAACTGTACGCATTCCAGAAAAATTTCTAGGAACTACTAACTTGCCACGTGCACATTTTCCACCTTAGACACTCGTAGGCATCGTGGTTTTTCCAGGCTAGAAATTGAGAAAACAAAATTTGGCATTTTTGCCGAGCAATCCTGAGCTTTTCCCAGACAGAGCTCTGCAGAGGTGGCCCCTTCAAAAGCTGGATGTTCTTTTTCGGAAAGCAGAAGAGAAATCGTAAGGTTTTCAAGGGCAATTCCCAGATCCGATAAAATATTAGCAAGATTTTTACTTTTGGTAAGTTCGATTAAGGCTCTAACGTTATCTTACCTGTAAAAGGTTAATTAACACTTTACAAACACGATCAGTGCATAAATATGTGTGCGCACGATCGTACTAAAACATGATTTTTATGCACTGAAAAATAAACCATCAGTGTTTACAACAACTAAATAATGCTGAGCTCATATTTTATTATAGCTTTGCGATAATGATCAAAGTAAGAGCATGAATTATGAAAAAATCATGTAAATGAAAGGAGCTGTAAGTGTTTTTCAATTTAGGTTGCTCCCGCGCAACCTGGGAGCACCTTGAGGTTGTGTGGGAGCAAACAAAGATATAATTTAACCTTTTCTACATATTCTAAGAATTTTTACATTTATCAATTTTTAGTTCAAGCTCTACCTATTAGTGCTCACCTTGACTCATTTGTCCCTTTCGCTCTAAAGAGACTAAATCCCAAAATTTTTGCTTTTCACTCTTTTTGCCCTAAATCCATTAAAAAGGATAAAGGATAAAGGATTCGGTGTCTTCAATACCCTCTAGGGGCATGCACCGAACGCACACACTAACTTCATAGTCGAAGAGGCAATTGTATGCGTGCGAGCCTATTACAGTGACTTGCGGGGGCCAGCCGTTTCCAAGTCAGTGCTTTTATCCTCCCAGATTACTCTGGTACCAATTTACCAGCCCCGGAGGGTAGAGGGCTTGGTTGGCCCAGGGGCGGGGATCGAACCTGTGTCCGATCTGGTCATAGCGGCGCCTCATACCACTACGCCACTCGTCCCCCTAAATCCATTGAGAATAGTTAATTTCAAAAAATATGTATAAGGATTAGAAAACTTTGTGCTACAAGTTGCTTCTGAACAAAATTCTCCATGGATTCTGAGCCGAGAAATTCAATTGCGAACTTGAGTGATCGTCGCGGCCCTTCCGTGCCATATAAAACTTTGAAGCAAAAGGCGATTGCAGGTCTTTTGCACTATCCAGTTAATGACCGATTTTTGAGCCCGCCGAGATGCCAGAAAAAAGTGAGTGCTTTCGACTTTTTCGCGATATTTTCTTTCAATAACTTTCCGTTAAATCCAATCTTGGTTACTGCTCTAGAGACCCTTGGCTACACGAAGAGCGAAGTCTGCTTTATCCTACTTCATTTCAACATAAGTTGTGCTCTCTCAAAGCGGAGACTTTTGAAAAAAGTTGCTGGCAATCTTCAGGCCAGTAAATCTTTCTTGTGATAGATACAGTCACGCAAAAGTATCTGTTCTATAGCCACTGATTTGGCGGTTACAGTAGTTTTTATTGAGCCCGATATGTCTTTTCAAGAAAGAATTATCCCGGTTGAAAGTTGAAGTGTAGAAAACGTGCGTTAATTATGAATCAACCTAAAGAGCTAGAGCTAGCTTATAAAAAGCTCCTCTTTTTTTTGCCTTCTGTTGCTTTATCTCGAATTTTCTTGTTTTTTTTTTTAAATTTTTATCCATGTCCTTCGCTGCAGATTATGAGCCGTACTTTTACAATATCCACAAGGGATTATTTGTTTTCTGCACTGTCAAAGAGGATTTCGTTTTCAAGATTCTCAAATGCCACCTCGTGCTGAGCCCTGCTCTCAGAGAGACGATTCTGTAGAACTGTAGTATTCTGTGTTCTGTAGACCTACCTTTATTTGTATTCTAACTATGAAAAAATCCCAGAAACTGCACAGGTGAATCCAATGTAAAAGGTACATGCCTGTGCAAATTGGATATCTCTAAGATTTATAAACAAAGAATTTTTCGGATATTTGAATTGTTTCATATTTCAAATTTAAATAGATGGAATGAAGTTTGCGCGGTGTTTTGTATTCTGTTTTGTAGAGCTTACTTTGCTCTATGAAACAATATACCATTTACTGTTTTTCTTCTTAACGCTGTTGCGGTAGGATGCAATGCGACACTATTTTCCGGACAACCTTAACATTTGCTAAATCTGGTTAAATCCTTTCATATATGCTGTCAAAATATGTTCAGCAATCGATGACTACGGGAGACGAACAGCCTTTGGACCTCTCATGGCCAGAAACTCATCTCAAACGGTTTATCTTCGTACTTTTGGCACCGATCACATTTCCGCTAGCTCTTACACTGCCCGATGTGCGGAAGCCAGTAAGTGAATTAGTATTAGGGAATCCACTCCTTTGACATAAAAATTCAAGAGACTGAATCTTGAAATGTGTGTTTGTTGTTAGGCGCTATCTACTCTCTCTTGTTCAATGCCATCCTATTCCATACATGTTGTGTGTATCAGACAGTCTCTTTTGCAGTCATGGCGTTCGTGGTTCATTGTGACTTTCGTGGGATCAGTTCTGTGGATCGCGCTCTACTCATATTTAATGGTTTGGTGGGCTAACACTATTGGAGAAACCTTCGCTATACCCACAGAGGTCGGCTCTACACTTGGTGGTCATGACAGGCCACAATTGTTTTTAATCAATCAACAAGTTACTTGTAGATCATGGGGCTTACTATACTTGCTGCTGGTACCAGTATACCTGACTTAATCACAAGGTTAGTCAAAGCTTTTTTTGGTAGATATTTTCAGCTGAGTTTGTGTTATAGTGTGATTGTTGCTCGCAAAGGTCTGGGGGATATGGCTGTATCAAGCTCTATTGGTAGCAATCTTTTTGATATCTGCGTAGGGTAGGCACATTATATGTCCTTCACTTGTCTTACAACACTTTCCTTCAACACAATACTAGTCACTACATACTTCCTTGCAGGTTGCCAATCCCATGGTTGCTATACTTTATCGTTGCACTATTTCGGTGGAGCAGTGGCTCATTCCCTACTGGTAATTCGAGAAAATTATTTTGAAAATCAAAAGAACAATTCTGTCAATCATGCAGTACCTGTCCTTTAATTTTTGTGCTGGATTGGAAAGCATTTTTTTCAGTGGCAGTGATCTCAAATGGATTGATCTGCAGTGTGGGGATGTTGTTTTTGATGTTGGTCTTCCTGGTATTTGCCATTGCCATGTCTCGGTGGCGCATGGATAAAATATTTGGTACGTTACGAAATTAAGTCAAAGCTGAGTGAAAATAACGCATTACTAATACTACGCGAAACCGTTAGCAAAAGCCTTGAGGAGCAAATTGCTCGACAGAATTTTGGGTCTTAAGGACGAAAGCATATTTCTCAGGTTGGCTATTAGATGATAACATTTTGATAAGCAACTTCGAAAATTTACAAAAATTCAAGAAGCCGCTGTTGAGGTTTTTAAGGAGAATCTAGCCGTTACCATGAGTTAGGCCAGACTGCGCGACGTACTTTGCGTACGCTGGACATGATTCACTATAGTATCACCATTATCTGAAATTTTTCATCGGTGACAAAAGCAGTTACGTCCTCATTTTATTAGGGTGTGCCATAACTTTTTCTAAACCTTTTTTACCTTGAACATCAGAATTTTTCGAGCACTGCACTTTCAAAGTCTACAAAAAATGGTCGTACTTCTGTATGTATAAGCTATATAATCACGTGCGTGGGAGGAGCTCAGGTTATCTAGGAGCGGAGTTTGTCATTTTTCCCCATTCATTTTTTCTTTATTTCTAGTCATGGAAAAAATACGGAACTAGTACATTCGAATGTGCGATGTGTCAAGCATGCCTTAGTATGAACGGGGAATTTTTTAGACATTTCGGGGCGGAGCTGCGATTTTTGAAGGAAAAGTTCGTTTTCGACTGCTATCAGATCAGTTCTCAACTTGCGGGAAAAACGATTTGGGCGGATTCCTTATAACCATCCTTGTACAGCTTGATTTGCCCTGTTGAATAATTACTCAAGTCACATCAACTGAAGGAAAAATACAAAGAGACGACGGTTATAGTAGAAACGGTTCGAAAAAATGGGACACCTTAATAGTACGTTCCAAAAGTTCTTTAAGCTTTTCGACTTTGAAATTCTGAATCGGTATGTCTTCTGGTTAATGTTATCTCTCAACTTTCTTCTGTGAACTTTGGCAAATTCAAATTTTCATCCTTAACCTAAACAATCAAACAGTTGATAGGATTGACAGAGTGCGATACAGTAGATCTTTTTCCGCACCTCCAAGTTGCTTCCTAGCATTTTTCAAATCAATTTTTCCGCAAGTCTTCACTTATGCTAAATCTTCAAACACACAAACGTGACCAAGACCTATGAACTTCCCAGTTCGGAAGTTCATAGGTCTTATTGTATATAAAGTTCATATTAGATTCGGCTGATTTTACAAAGCAATTGAGCGTTCGACGCTCTGAAATACCAAAACACGCTTTTTCGATACAATCTAAGGCACGCAAAATCAAGATTTGTGATAATTTTGTCACAAGATAAAAAATTACTTTTAAATTTTCTGAAATAGCCAGCTATGAATGATAAAAAATACATTGCAGCGCACTCTGTTACTCTGTCCTTTCCATAACCTCAAAATGGGAAATCAAAAAAATAGCCAAGCTTGGGCATACAAAAATCGTTGAGAGCTTCGGCGACTATAAAAGCAAGAGCAACTAGGCAACCTTAACCGCTGAAAACAGGAAGAAAAGCTGCGTCAAATAATCTCGGCACGTTTGCTCACCTTCATTCAGCATGTTTCATGGTTGGAAAAGCCCAATATCAGGTCCTTCCTAAAAATTTTTTTACATTTTACATTTACATTTATTTATCCTCAGCGGTTATATACAATTGATACCGCGATGATTCCGCTTACGACTTGAGCTGGGCGACATCGACTTCGATCGCCTTCTCTGGCACAAATTCAATCTTGCTCGTGCCAACCAGCGCATTCTCGTGACGTTGCGATCTTGGTCCAAAAATTTTTTTACCTGCCACAAAAACACATGGAATAAAGATGGCAAAATTTAGGCTATAGGCGCAATTTTTTTCTCTTTTCGACAGTAGCGTTTCTACAGCATTGCAGCATTTGTTTCCGTGATTGCTTAAATAATCGCCGGAATTTGGAGCTCATGTTGCCAGCAATTTTGCAATTTTTCAAGATTTTCGGTCTAAACTTGTGCAATATGATAACAGATGGATAGAGTGAACACAGACAATACAGCAATTTTTCGGGCATCTCGGAATAGCTTTCCACCGATCTTCAAGATAATTTTTGCAAAAAGTCTTCACTTTTGCAAAGTCGTGTTAAACATGAATGCATTAACACTGAGGAATCTTCAGAATTGTATGCTTCAAAATTCAATTACCCTTCCACTCCAATTCTATGAAGTAAATGAGGTTCACCGCAATTTTGAAATTTTGGGTTCACCCATAGGCTCGTTTAAAAACTTACAATCATAATGATTTTATTCCCAAAAATTCTACATCAAAAAGAAAAGTCTATCAGAAAACGGGAGAAGAAAATCGAACAATACCCGAGTTGCTTGTCGGTTGTTCTGTGAGGCTTGGCCAAATTTGAAATTTACCATCACAAAAATGGTACTGATAATTGTGAAAATATCACGTTATAGCACACAATTTTTGCATGCTCAAATTTTCGTCTTCGTTTTGCAAGAATGGGTAAACAGCGCTTAAACTTACTAGACAATGAAATCAAAAGGTAACACTCGCATAATTGCTAGTGAGAAGTAGGGAAACCAAACTGTAGTGGATGGTCACTAGGTGTTTATTTGTAGTCAGCAACAGTCATAAAGTAATGAGTGCAGTAATGCTAGGAGGCATATAACTTGCAACTCTACCTTTCTTCTGAGTTTCTCTATGTTAAAGGTCACATAGTTATTGCAAATCTATCACTATCCTAATGAGTGGCTGGTAAAGTTTGACTTTCTCACCATATTTTGATGAGATTCGCTACATGCTACTTTAATTTAACCATTTCAGGTTTTGTGATGATTATCGCCTATGTAGCATTCTGCATATTCAGCGTCTTCCTCGAAACTGGTCAAATAGTTTGCCCATTACGGATATCTGAAGCTTGTTGAATATTGTTGACTATATTTTTCCGTCTGTTCATAATTTTGCACTGTAAAAAACTCGATCCGTAGTTATAGGCCTTGTGAAACCTAATTGTCCGTGTTGTGCCATGAACACCAGCGTATGCGAGCGGTCGCCACGAACGACTGTAGGCATTCACTGTTTTTGAAAAAATTTTCCGTTAACTTTAATGTCGTTTTGAAACAATAAGGTATATTTCGACAAAAAGGTCTTTCAAAAAGCCTATAAACAGGTATGAAAACAGTGCGCTCATTGTCGCCTGCAAAAAGCCTATAGGGCTTTGGGACCCACCGTTTCCAGCCGCCGCGTTGGTGTTTAAAGTGACGCGTGGGCAATCTATGGTTCATCTGAGTGGCAAGGGAATAAGAAGTCGCGACCACTTCAAACAAGCTGCATAGCACGGACTTAGTTTGAACGCTGATTCTAAAGGCAGTGTCCGGGCAAAAACTCGATTTTGAGATTTTGTGCTTACTTGGGCCTATTCGCTATGCTGAATCCGAAAATGCACATTGTAGAGCGCGAGAATGGTGAAAAACAGCTCTAACACAGGAGAGAAGTGGGGGTGGGCGGGGTCCTCCCCACTGCGAATTCACGTTCCCGGCTTTCGGAGCGACCCTCTCGCTTCCGGTTTCAAGTCAATTATTTGCACTTGACCGGTAGCGATGTTAGGACGGCTAGCGGAATCGAGAAAATCGCTCTGGGAGCTGGGAGCGTGGAATCGCACTGGGGAAAGCCCCGCCCACCTGCTGATTTCCCTGCTGTATTAGGGCGGTTTTTCGCCGTTTTCGCGCTTTCCAATGTGGATTTTCGGATTCAGCATGGCGAATAGGCCCGTATAAGCACAAAATCTCAAAATCGAGTTTTTGCCCGGACACTGCCTTCAACTCCTTCCGTACTTGCTGAAGCCTTCGTGGACAAAGTTATGAACAGTTATTGCAGAAAATTTGCGGATATTTACGAAAGAAACGTGAATGCCTTCTCAGGTCACCATTAGGCACGGACTCTAAACTTCTTTACGGGCTCAGCGCTGTGCTAAACATGGACTTGCATATCTAAACTTGCACTTAGCCTACACGATTCTGCTACTCTGCAATAAAGTGGCTCAGCTTTGTCTATAGAAGCGTTTAGCAGATAAATAAGGAAAATGTGGTTGATTATCATACCCTTGTTTCAAGAGTTTTGGGCTGTCCGGAAGAAACTTGAGAACCGTTGGTGCTATGCGAAAGAGCATAAGCGAAGGTATACACTAGCTCAAAAAGAATACGGAGTTAATCTGAAAATAAATTTTGCGCCGGCGACAAATTTTGGCAAATTCATAATTATACGAACATTTCAAACAAAGCTCTTTTTCTCACTGAAAGCTACAACCTTTCGCAACCGAATTTTTGTAATGTTTGCAGCAAAGTTTGAGAAAGCTGTTATATGGTAAGCTTAGTGCGGTTCAAAAAGAGGAGAGCTCTACACTTACCGAATAATTCAAAATGCTTTTGAATCTAGTGTCTCCAATAATGCCTTTTGTGAGGTTGCTTGTATCAAGACTTTGTGATATATTAAGCTTCTGATAAATGTACTATACAATTCTGCAAACCTCGCGTAACAGTTGCGTTTTTTATCCATCTTCAGCTTCACCCTAGAGCCATCATGCTTTTGAGCCTCTAATCTCTGCTACTGAAGTCTTATGATGAGATATTCGCATAGCTTGTAAAAAATTTTTGGGCGTCAAACGAGGCAGCCTTGAGTTCATCGGAGAAGCTTAATGTGCCATAAAGTCTTGGTATCAGCTGATCAGAGTCCTAAAACCTCGCAAAACAGACGCTTTTATAACCCACTGAATCCAAAAGCATTTTGAGTTACCCGCTGAACTCTACCCCTCTCTTCTCGAACTGCATTGGGTTTAGCGTATAGCAGATATCTCAGATATCACTACTGTAACTTAAGAAAAAAATCTGGATGCGGCAGCTTTGAGTAAGAAAGGAAGCTTTGTTTGAGATGTTTGTATCTCTTCCGGCGCCAAAATCGTTCTCAGATTAACACCTTTTTTCCGGTTATGTGTACCGTTTCTGTTATGTTCTTTCACTTAGCACCAGCGATTTAGGTTTCTTTCAGAAGTCCAGAGACTTTCAAATGAGGGGTGTTCTTATAATTATGAACCACACGTGGATTTACAATCAGCGTTCTTGGTCGCCTCCATCGGTATGCAGCTTTTCAGAAATAGTCATTTGATGATCAATCCTCAATCCTTGTAAGATGTCCAAATGTTGAAAGACATGCTGCTTTACACCCTCTGATGATCAGCAAATCTCATCTCTTAACTTGAGCGACACAAACGTGACAAAACTATGCATTCTGTAGAAATCAAACTTATTTTTTGCCGGTGTGCATAACTGAAATGTTTTATATTGGTGTTCTCCTATTTGCTCAAATTTTTAACATGCAAGGTAGATCGATGACTCATCATATTTGATATTGTATGATATTGTTATGTAATATATAGACTAATATGAAAGTTTGAGAGTTATTTGTTTTACGAAAGAATAGTTGCGTTGGCTCAGATGCAATAAATATTTTTGATACATTGTCGCTAAGCGTGCAGATCAAAAGCATGGTATATGCTGATGATCTCATACATGATAAATGAAAACTGTTCCCTAAAATAGTGAAGATATAGGTTTGCAAGCCAGCATTGGTTGCTGTAATTCGAGAGGGAAGACGACGCGCGCAAGTCACAAGCAAGGATAGAATGGGGCGCAGAAGAGTGACCCGTGGTCAGATTTGTTAGTTCGACTAACTGGATTGTTTGTGGGTTCACTCAGACAGTAAACCTCTTTGAGTGGCTGGGCTTTCAATTCTCGTTATTGCATGCGTGCGCTTGTTTTCACTTAAAACAGCGTGAAAAACGCTGTTATCTCTCCTTATTTATACCTATGACTACCTTTGGTTCAGACGCTGAAGATCGGTTTCGAGAGTTCACTGTATTTCAATCAAAAGCTAGCACAACTAACAAGGTGAAGTTCGCTATGATTGGTCGTAGGCATTCCTCTTTGTTAACAGCGTGGAATATTTGAAATCATCACGGGTGAGACAATAATGCTAAACGGAAGAAAGTACTCAAAAAAATATAAAAAATACTACTGCGTGATGATTTGATTGCGGTTGCCAATCTGACAGCAGCTTTCGCGCTCGACTTGTTCTATGTATAGACGTTTCACCCAGCTTTGGTGAGTGGACACAACCTATACATGGAACTTGCTACTTGTAAAGGTCAACACTAACGCAATTTTGAAGTCATACAGCACAAGAGAAAGGCTCTATGCGATTCTTCAAGTGCAAGCAAGGGAGAGTGTCTCGCTGTTTCAGTTAAGTCAGAATTATTGTTAGTGTATGAAAACTTGTGTTCTGACCCCCCCCCCCCCCAGCTTTCCATAACTTTTTGAGTCGCTTTTGAACAATTTCTATTTTACTATTTTATTTAGTCAAAATTTCGGCTAAGAAGGTTTCAGTTTTGGAATAAAGTCATGAAGACTTTTCTTGCTGCATCTTATCTATGAGTTTAGAGGAGAAATAGTTCAAAGATTCCACTATTACACATCAATTATTTGAAATTCTCTGCTATCATAAAGCTCACAAGGGAACGGTGTCGAGTCGAAGTGGCCGTTTCAGATGAGACCCGTACTGCTTTGAAGGGTATTAAGCGGTGATTCCAAATCTGCGTTCCAAATCTGCCAAGCGCCTCTGGACGCCAAGTTATGACTGTTCTTCGGAACGAAAAATGAATGCAGAATTCAGGTAAAACTGATTGTTACAATCTTCCCAGCGCTCAGATAAAGCAATGTTAAGTATTAACATATTGAATAAAATGTATCCATTGCATAAACAGCTCTGATACTTGACATTGGACCATTTGAGCAAATGTGGGCAATCTTCAGTTTTGCGTTCAATTTTTTGGCCTGGAAAACGAGCATAACTTGCCGTCCAGAGGCGCTTGGCAGATTTGGAAAGCGGATTTCAAAGCAGTATGGGTCTCATCTGGAAAGGCCACTTTGACTCGACACGGTTCCCTTGTCAGTTCTTTGAATTTCTGAGCTCGTTTTCAGGCTGTGGTGGACGTAGAGATGAGCAATTCGCAACTTTAACACCCATAAGTTTCCTGTCCTTAGCGAATAACATTAATAGCTGTGGTCTGTCGTTTTGAAATCCTTAAGGTGAAGTTTCTTGAAGAGGCTACGAGAGATGAAGAAGTAGTTGTGAAGGGTTGCAATTAGATCAGGAGGTAACAAGCTCTCCTAGGTGGGCAGGTACTGTCTAAGAAAATCGAAATTGTCGATCGTTTTCAGCCAATTTTTTTGAAAAAAGCTGTTACGTTTATTTTTTCTCTAATCATAATCTTTTGCTCTTTTTCGATACACCCAACTCGTGAGTAAAAAATTCTTGAACTGTAGGCTGACGAATAATATGTGCGCACGAAGGAGCTTGCATTCGGGGCGTGCGCAAAGAAAATATAACTTTTACGGGTTTCTCATCACCGCAAGGTACGCCCATACCTGATTCGCTTAATCCACTTCGCCATCGGTCAGTTTGTTGATTTGAAGAATAGCGAAATATATGAAGCGGATCAACCGGATCAAGCGGATCAAATATGCTTGGCTAAGCACACTGCGAAATTTGAAAGGGCAGTCGACCTTGAAAACGTCTCTGTTTTTCTCGCTAGCAGCAGCCTCATCCTTCAAGGATCAACTTTATTATCAGAGACATTCTTGTTGAAGAGTTAGAGGATTAGACCCTAGAAATGACCTAGTCGATCAAACTGGAATGATCTATTTGTTAAAAAGATGCGAAAGAGAAAAATAATATAGATGGAAGAGCAGATACAAAATCGAAACCGGGGTAAGCCACAGCAAAAGCTACCGCTCACAAAAACCGCACAATCAGTTTGACAGCTTATAAACTTACAAACTTTGGCATAGGTGGCGTAACGATGTTTTCTTGATGCCTCTTAAATGGTGAAATCGGCGTAAAAACACTATACGGTTCCTATGTTTTTTTTTTTGAGTATCTGGAAAGTAGCTAATTCCAATTTGAAAGTTTTGAAAGTTCCTATCGTTATACCATTGTAACAAAGAGTGGTCGGTGATTTTCTTTGTGCTACAAACTCAAGTACTCGAATCAAAAAAATGACATCCTTAGTCTGCTCAATACGTCAAGGCAAAGAGGTCCAATTGTACTGGTCATGTACGTTTGACAAGGAAAGGATCTCAAGTGAGATGAGTTTTCAAGACGAAATCGATACATATAGGTGCTTTGGTACGCTGAACTCTTACTCGTGTTCGCTATCTCCTGTACGTCTCTGTGCGAAGAATCAGAGCCCATGTTTGCACCAAGTTCGCATGGTCAATGGCAAGTGCGAGCCCCGCACAAGTCAGCAGCAGCGTGTTGCTTAATGTTAATGTGTTAGACTGCAGAGCTGATGGGTTTCTGCGTTCGCCTTCTTTTGTGAGCATTTTTGATGTACGTAGAATCAATTTTTGAATATATCCAAGCATCCAGCACGTGGTGCCTTTCAAGATAAAGGGTGGAAATCGATGTTAAAGTGCAGGAAAACAGCAGCGAGATATCCCAAAAATTTTTCATGATAGAAACGAAAGTGATATCAAGCAAGTACGCGGCATGCTTACGAGCATACAAGCTACGACCCAATATTTGCACATAACATAAATGTCCATATCAAACTGTTTGCTTAAACAACGTAGTCGGCTAAAAAGCATTTTTGTAGCGACCTTAATGAAGGTGGACTTGATTTGGAGACTGGTGGTTTTGCGTTCAACAGCTAATTTCATGTACATCAGCAAAAATGTTGCACCCAAAAAAACTCAAACGTAGATGTCCATCAGCTCCGTAGTCCAATGCACTATCATATGCCAACGCAAACGGTGGCTTTGGATGCGCGGCCTTCACTTATTGTGGGCGATTCTGGAGAAAACTTGCGTATAACTCTTTACACAGAAATGCATAGCAATACTGAATGCGGATATGTACAGTGTAAAGGAGAGCCTATGTTTGTATAGATCTTGTGTCGAAAGACCACGGTTTGGGGTCCTTCCCTTATTAGTCATCCTGTAAAAAATAAACAGTACCTGCTCATTTCATCAAAGGTGGTTAGAGATGCCAAGTTCGATGTTGGATTTAAGAATACTTAGAGATGTGCAAAAACACCCTTTATGGTACAGACTTTCTTTCAACATCATTAGATCTTTTATTGTTTAGAATTTATCTCTTGCAGCAAAGCCTAATTGGTTGCATGTCGAGCCTGCTAGTGGACCCTGAAATCTCACTACGTTCTACGCAAACGTACCTTCAAATGTTAGAGCAAGGTCACCACAAAAGTGTTGAGAGAAGAAAGGTCTGTTGTAGAACTGAATGCAAGTCATCTTGAGATATTTTTTAGCGAAGGCAGAACCCCTGAACCCCAGAAAAGAATTCCTAAATTGCAGCAACATCTCAAAAACAGCAAAAGAGCAATATCGAAGGAGCTGGGAAAAACCCAATTCTTTTTCAATGGTACAATTTCGGGTGGCGGACTTTATGAACGATAGCGCGCGCTTAGGCAGGCGTGTGTCAATAAGGTGCGCACCGTTAGCTCCGCCTATCGCAAGATGGACGAGTTTAAAACAGTACAGCTTTAGCGCTGGTTCATGGCCATGTTCCCCAGTCAAATGAAAGCAACTTCTGATAGTGATATAAGCTTGTTGCAAGCTGGGATGAAGCTTAACTATTCGCGAAATTTTGTTTTGCTTTCTTGTTTTTTTATGCCAGTCGTGAACAGCTAATGTTTTTCATGAAATTTAAGAGCGACAGAGTGCCTTATGAGTGACCGAGTGCCTCCTGGATATCCAACTTTGAAGTGTGAAATCAATCTAGAACACCTCAGGCATGATTGTCTGAGTGACCTCACATCTTGCGACTAGTTCACATGCAATTTCGATTGAGTTACAGATCAATTTATACTGAAGGTAGCAGTTAGAAGCAAACAAAAGAATTTTGTTATTTAAAGCAGATTCGAAAAGATATAAGTGCAGTGTGATTTTCCTTTTCCTAAAATCTGAAAAAGTTTGTGTGATATGACCGCATATTTGCAAAATGAGTGAATCTGATCGTAAAAAACATTATCAAATGTAATGATGTACACAAGTTATTGAAATTAGTTTGCTTGAAACAAAATTCGCTTATAATGCTTATTTTGAATTCTCGTCGCAATTCCGTTTTTAACCATGATTAGGGTTTCAAAACTTACTTTTCCGATAAAAGAAATGATCGTGTTCATTCAAGCAATGATAATTATATTTCTCGGTAAGCTGACTTCTTTTTAAACTAAACTTGAGAGTGCACATAAAGAATATTCAATATAGTAACAGATTTGAATAAAGAAAAACACTTTTCACAATTTGGACAAACCTCCTAGGAACAAATAACTGAAATACATTGAAAAGACTTGCGAACTAATTTATAATGAAAAAAGATCTGAAAACTGATTTTTAATTTGATTGAAGTTTTGAAATCTACTGTTATCCAAATTGCAACCTACAGAAGAAGCATGAAGGAAATATTAGAGAGTTTTCCAATGGCTGAGCGCATTCCTAGGCTAATTAACAAGGGGGCGGAGCGACCAGCGCACCGCGTACGGTACCCAGCTGGCGGCTGGCACATGCTATCGTTCATAAAGTCATACACCCACAATTTCTGCTTTCTGCTCAAAGAGTGATCCAGAACCAACACTCACCTTTAACAAAAAATTACTTCCTGCAGTATTTTCTGCAGAAACTTCCAATAACATTGTTCTGATTGAATTTCAAAATCCATACTTTTTATCGGAATACTAAGCTGCAGTTGCAGACTGAATATGATAATTTGCACAGAGAACAGTCATGTCCAGTGCTCAAGTTGAAATGTATCAACCTTGAGTGGTCTCAATAGTAGTGCTGTTGTTATGGTATTAATCCCTTTACAGTCCATTTTTACAATTTTTGATAAGATACGTGCTTTAATCTAAAAGGATTTTTTTTCGTGGAATTTATGGTGACTAACAAATGGTGTCCATCTAACAAATGTCAAGGAAAAATTAACATGTCTAGGATTAGTACGATGTGTTTCTTCAAACTCATTCCCATTGTTGTATGAGGGCATTTGAGATGACTCAAACGCAGGTTGAGCTGTTCTTGTAAAAGCAAAACAGGTCAAAACGTTGAAACATCTCGATGCAGCAATATACAAAAGAAACTTCCCTTTTTTCTCCGCTGCAGATTCTGTTAGGAAAGAATCGCAATGATGTTCGAAGTATCTCGCTGCTGGTGTTTTGCCGTTTAGATGATAATTCTAGCGCACTTTCCTATTTTAATCAAATCTGATATGTCTATCGAAAAGAGGATGACACTTTTGTATATTCGATGTTCAGTCTCAAAATGTTGAGTTAATGATGGACGATCAGTAACGATTAAGCAGAAACTCTTACAGATGAAATGCCAATCTTCTTGACTGGGCACGGAGTTTGATATTCCTTTCTGTAAAATCGGAGTTAAATATGCTACAAGGAAAGAAGCATTATTCATGTATGGGTCGAAAACGGAGAGATACCGTTGTTTCAAATTACAAAGATCGGGAAGCACACATGCTTATAATTGCGTAGTTTTTCGAGTATGAAGATGCCTGTCAAAGAAAATATGGTTTTGACGCATCTATAAGGAAATTTTTCAGTGTTGCGCCTATGTGATCTCCTTTCAGCAAGAAATTATCCAGTGTCATATGATGGGCAACAAAAAGTATGTGTGGGTTTTTACCGCGGCAGTAGAGCCTTAATTACGCGCTTTCACCCGCCATATTATCAGCACCATCCAAGAGGAAAAATATAAACTACGCCATCTACCGTGCGCTAAATTTCGAGGAGCATATTTTGTAAACTATGCTTTATAGACACCAATGATAAAAAACACTTTCTGACTTTTATATCGTCGCTGCATATCTATGATTTGATAAGCACAGTCTTACCAAAAACATCCACTTCTTTGACTGCCATCCAGTGTGCCCTTACTTACTCTTGATTATTTTATCAAAACAGTACCAGTCGTGGCCGTGTCTTCTTTACAAACGCAATGAAAATTGAACGTAAGGTAAGCTTATGTCCTTCTACATGTCTTCTGCTTTACTATATAACGCTGAAATTTGTGATGTCAGTTATCCATATTGATGTAGCTCCTCAGAGTTTTGCGTAAAAAGAAGTGCAATTTTGCAAAACCTTACAATCTCCTGAAAATAAATGGTTCGTTGCGCAGATCAGACGTCCTTGCTCTGCACTTCATAGAATAGACTGATACTGTACTTGAACTTGCACGCAAACCACTTCTCTCATCTATCAGGTTGTCTCATGTGATTCTATTCCAATTTTACCAAAGCCATCGCCTTCGCATCTCTTTCCTTCCTTTGATATGTTTGGATAACATTCAACAAAGTAAGGCAAGCTCTACAAGGTGGCTGCCAAGTTTACGTCAAGATTACATTGCACTCAAAGCTAAGCTGATGGTAGGTGTAAACGAAACAAATGTCAAAAATCGCATTTTCGTCCCAAAGGGTTCTGAAAATTCCATACTACCTCAATCATATACTTGACACATTAAAGATATAATTTCACGCTTTTCCCACTTCTCCCCTGACTAAGAATGAAGATGTGGGTGAAATGGCAGATTCCGTCCTTCACGGTTCTGGGTTCCTCTCACAGATGTAGTGCTATTGCATAGCACTTACATTTAGGAGTGCGATTATATGTTTGTACCCCTTGTAGAGCCTGTCTCAAAAAATGATGATTTCTTATTTTGAATCGAAATTATCCAACAATCTATTAATAAATCAAACAGCATCGATTATTCTCTCTATAATCGCTGCTTTGCAAAGAAAACAAATACTCAAAATATGCGGACATTTGATTAAAAACGACGAGTTATGTACAAGTCTTCTTTTCCAGATAGCATGTTTTTTCTTCATATTTGCATCGGTTTACTTCTTGGAATCCATCGGAGGATTTTATATGACCAGGTCAATTTTGCTTATGGAAAAAAAACTGGCGGTTTTTTGTTTGAGTTTTTTGACAAAAGTTATTCCTGATTTTTCGGAGAAAATTCTTTGATCTGCTAAACTTAATCTAAGCATTTTGTGCCAATTCTGAAGAAACAAAACCGAAGAACTTCACAACAGAAAAAATAATCTTCTTCAGCGCGGTTGTATACATCGAAAAACAGTTTCAAATTCCCTCACGACTTAGCGGTACAATGGTTTCTGCTGGAGATTTTGCCTATATTCCTGTAGTCGTCTTCACCAGTTATTTTGGTGGGAAGGTAAGCTTTGAATTGTAGGATTTTTAGAGTACAGATGACAATTTAACTAGCTATCTCATAACACTCTTAGGGAAACCGAGCTCGATGGATTGGCGGCGGTTGTATGCTGATAGCAATCGCTAACCTGTTGATCAGCTCCTCGAACTTCCTTTTTCCCGTAGAGACCTTTCACGTAAACAGCAGTTATATTCCAAACTCTTTGGGCTACGAAGTGAACAGGTACTGCTGTTAGAATCATAGTATTTGTAAGTTCTTTGCAAACAGTTATCGGCTTAAGCCCTTCTTTATCTAGACTAGCTGCACTTGCTGCTTCCAATTTTTTCTAACAAAAGTGAGTATTTTTAGTAAAAGTGACAATAAGTACTGAGAATACATAGTCATGTCTGGCTCGACGCCTAACCAAATACCTTTTTCATATTGAATGAGTTCTTATAAAGTCTTCGGCAAGGTACGAATATCTGAAAGCCAAAACTTTGATTATGATATTATAAAATTAATAATGCTCAAATGGAAAAATGGTCTCAAGTTTACTAAACGGAAAATTATCCTCACAGTATTCACTGGCCATTAGTATATCGGTGCGCCAAAAGTAACCAATGGCTAAGACAGTGCCATCTCATTCCATGATTCTCCTCTCAAAAATGCTCATTGCCTTCTTCTGTAGTATGAAAAGCAGACTTGCGAACTACGTTTTATGCTGAAGCACCAGTGTAAATGCCCAATTCGATTGATCGATTTGATATGAGAGAACATTTATGGAAGCTCAAAGCCATATTACCATCGCGCTAAGTGTATACTCTTCAACAGCTTCATCTCCAGGGAGCAGCAAACGCATCTTATTCGTCACGCAGCAGCTGAAAACATTCTCTGCAATGTGATCCAACACACTTCACTTTGATGTGTACCCTTTGAAACTTTTTGATATGTAGTGTATGAATAGATAAACATGTTTAACAATAATAATCTTTGATTAGATCAGGCTAATACACAATTTAGATTTCACAATTCGAGAGTTTGCAGATTTATGCTGAATATATCCACAGATTCAGAATGGTTCTCAAAAACTCTAAAAGAAGTCGATCCCACTGACATCATTCTTAGCGCAAATGTGAGTTGCTACTAGAATTTTCGACAATTTATTCATAAGACTTCTTTGAAGGTTGGTCCGCTCCACACTAATAACAGCAAAAAATTCATCAAATACCGCTCTTTTTGTTATAACAACAGCAACTCAAAAATATGCGACAAAATGGAGGTAAATTTGTTGATGTTTGGTTTTCCCGAGTTTAAATCTGTCTTAATGGCTTTAGAGTCGAATTTCGGAGAAGCACGCTATTGACGAAAGCGATGTTTCAGCCGTACGTGTGCTTACGTCGTTGCCGTACTCATTCTGTCACAATGTTATCAATAAACTGAGACAAGAAGTAATTTTTGATGTTGATAATTTGAACCTGACCAGGCTTTGAGACTTGAGTTGAAGAACATGGATGCAGTGCATTTTTTCTGATTCTTTTTGCTACTGTATTCATTTAAAAAAATAGTCAAAAACACAGTCTAGTTGCTTATCATAGCGGCCAAAAATGTACTTCTTTGATAGCACAGAGGTTTGGACTGAGAACGACATGATAGCTGGCCTTATCAGCTGTCACACTGATAGTTTTATAGTGGCGATAAGACGCTTACCTCTAAGAAATCCAAGTGAATTTCAGCACATAGCAGACGAGTGCAAAAAGGAGACGTCAAGTTTGGGTCCTTTTATGATGATTTTTGGAGGACTGATGCTTCTTGGCGTAGGACGGTAGGTGCTGTTTGTCCCTTAAAAGGAGTAACTTAGCAAATTCTTGACCTGAAATTCTTTTTGGCTTGTCCGGGTAGTCCGACTCTCCAAAATTCAACTTAGAAAGCATGAAAATGGCATTAACCAGCATTTCTCAAGGCCCTTAGTTTGAATTTGAACGAAGGGAACAGTCCGCTAAGGTTGGAAACGCCGAGTCGTTGCGGGACCCTTATGATTATAGCATTAAGGCATGTCACCTCCGACTGCGAGCTCTTGTAAGAATAGTTAGCGCGCACGGGTTTGGGGAGTTTACAGATAACTGGCAGCAGAGAGGGACGTACTCAAATGTAGAAAAAATTCCAACCAGATTTGAACTTAGCGTCGTTATTGACACTTTGCAACTCATCATTATTGGGGTCACATCACGCTCTTGAAACATTCCTCGTAAGTCTCACAGTTGAATTGATTTCAGATAAAATGTGTAGTACATCTTCTACGTGTTTCATTTTCGCTTGTGCCTAATTCCGACAACAGCGCTAAGAAATCTTTGCTAAACTATACACAAAATAAAGTACAATTTGCATAAAATGTGACCAAGTATCATGTACACTTGCTTTACGATGAACTTCACGAATACACAACTTTTTTAGCCAAATTTGTAAAGACTGACATTATTAGAGGAAGTGCGTCTTCGATCGATATACTAGTCAAAGCTTACAAGTCCACAGAATTAAAATTATCTGTTAGAAACTAAAATATAACAAATTATAAATGTTGGATTTTTGAAAGTGGCGCGAGCCGCAGGTGACCCACGCCGTCGTCAACGTGTTGAACAAATCTGATTGTATTTCTAATTTGCGTCCATGACTTTTGTTCTAGATCAGTATTAGGATGGACTGAACTCCTCATAATGAAATTACCAATTTCTTATGATACCAAAGTGCGTTTCATAACTATGTAACCCCTTTCCCTCCCCATCCGCTGGGGATTTCGATTAAGAAGAGATGAAGTATCTACCTTCCAGCGCCCTTGACTTGAAAGCAAAGATCAGCGGTGCTTCAGTGAAGTGTGGCGGAAAAAAATCAAATCACATTGCAGGGACTCAGGAATATTTCAAGCTATTTTTCATTTGGAAGACAGAAGATATGAAATCTTATAGAAGATTTTTGAGATGTTTTTAAGGCATTTTTCAAAGCCTCCGAAGATTTTTCACTCTTTTTAGCAAATCGAGTAACATGAGTGCTGAAGAGATAGTTTCTTTCAGCTGAGTAAGTACAAAAGAAAATCTATGGGATAAAATTAGGCGAGTCAGAATGCAGATCATTATTTTCAAACTTCCAAAAGATGAAATTCAACAGTTGCAATTTATTTTTTGCTGTGGATTGCTGATTAGTCCTGGTAAATATAAATGCCCTCAGTGTTTCCTGGGTCTAAGAAAGCGCCACAGCCTCTCAAAATTTGCTTCCGGTGCTTCAGAATCTCGAAAGCTGGCAGTTTTTGCTTGGGTCTATTGAGCGTAGACCAAGATATTAACCATACTTTATTCACGGCCAACGTTTCAGCGGGATCGCCTTTGTCAGAGCCTAGAAAGTCGAAATATAAGTAAAAAATTCTCTTAGACGCCAACATCCTAGCTCAAGACGGAAGTCAAATTGAAGAGAGTACAAAAGGCAAGGAGAGATCCCGATAACGAAACTTACCTTAGATCACGTGTGATGATGTGCAAGACCACCAACTACTCAGATTATACCTTCCCCCCCCCCCATTTATAGTGCTCGGGTGACCTGACCTCCTATCGAAACCCACAGAGGTATTGATATGGCGCCAGTTCATTGGTGATGGCTATGTACTCTTCCTTCCGGTTCATCTTTGGATTCTTGGCGTAGATTCAGAACGCTTCTAAAGTTTTGCGCGCTAGGGGGTCGGGCTCGTACGCTAATATAGTTACTCCAATAAAAATTTCAGCATCTTCGTGGCACGAAATGCGATGGCTGCCTAACGGCATAGCTGCTTTGAGTTTATTCAGCCCATCCAGATGTTCTTTAACGCGGCAGCAAAGGGGTCGCCCTGTTTCTCCAATATACGTATCACCACACGATAAACATGTGATGAGATAGACACCCCGGAAACCTTGCAATCACCCTCTTTGCCAAATGGGAAGACGACACAAGCTTTGGTTAGGCATGCACGATCTTACGATCGATTTCGGACCAATTGACGTTTTAGGTTCGAGGGTGGTATATCGACCACCCTGACATCGTTTTGCAAACCCGCGAGATGTAGCATCGCCTCACTGCCGCGCTTATCTTATCCGATATGAACGACAAGCAGAGGGCGGTTTTTGTAAGTGGCGTATCCAGGAAGCTGGTGCTGGTTCTACGTCCTGCTAATCCGTATGGGTCAGAAGTAGGCTCTGCACCAGCATACCCATTAGACTTGGCTACTTGATAAGCTAAACCCATAGAGTAAATCCGTTCTTGGATATCTGACGAAACTTTTGCCGCTATTCGATACATGTTATTTATTGGTCCGAAATCGATCGTACGATCGTGGGTACACCTCTGTGGGTTTTGATACGAGGTCAGGTCACCCGAGCACTGCAAATAGGGGAGGAGGTATAATCTGAGTATATGGTGGTCTTGCACATCATCACACGTTATCGAAGGTGAGAGTCTTGGTTATCCGGATCTCTCTTCGCCTTTTGTACTCTCTTCAATTCGACTTTCGTCTTGAGCTAGAATCTTGGCGTCTAAGAGAATGTTTTACTTATGTTTTCGACTTTCTAGGCTCTGACGAAGGCGCCGCCGAAACGTTGGCTGTGAATAAAGTGTTGTTAATATCTTGGTCTACGCTCAATAAGCTCAAGCGATTATCAACTATCGATGCCAAGATTAATAAACAACCGAAGTTGGACAATTTTAGAAGCTGGCAATTTTCATTCTCGTAGCGATTATGGCTAATAAACTCTTGTGCTAGATCAACTCTGACTATGAACCGAAGTCAAGAATGGCTACAATGAGACAAATGTTCTAAAAGACGGCTACCATCAATAGTGGCATGAAGCGGAAAAAAATGACTTTTTTGCAACTCGTCACACTTCATGTGGACCGCCATGTAAAATTATAGAGTAAATGACATGACGATTTCCAGTTGCTGCTCTAAAATTAATATGCCTTATTTCGTTTTGTGATCTAAGCATGTGACATTTTCAAGCAAGAGATCTTTCGAGAAGAAAATGTAAAACGTGGCCTTCATAGCTGATCTTGTCGCCGTGAATCCATCAGCTTTTCTAGTTTGATGGCGTTCGTTGGTCTAAAACGATCATTCGAGCTTCCGTCTCAATATCTTAACTAGAAGTTGAGACTTATGGGCGGTGCAATTCCTCCAAAAATGTAAATCATCTCTCTTATAGTCATAAATGCACTGCACAGGGTGTTTCAAAATAATGTATCGAACGTTTGATCTTGAAAAACTCTCTTGTACGGAAAGTCTCCCATATTCTTAGGTGCCATGTTTGGCTTCGCCTTAGAAGTACTGTACAGGGTGTCCCAAAAAGGTGTGCACACTGTTTGATATCGTTAATAACTCTTGCTTTTATGTCTTTTGCCGAGCTTGAGGTACCATTCTTTGGAGCGTTCTACTTAGATTTACAGTATGGAGCGCCTTATCAGCAGCTCTTCATTACTGTAGGATTACGGTAGGAATTTCGAAAAGGATTTTAAGCCATTGAAAGCGGTATTTTGCCCCAGAAAGAAAGCCAAGCAAGGCAGAAACTTTTGAACTGAGTTAATCGAAGTTGTTGATCCCAAATACGAAAAATGCACGTCAGTACACTGTTCCTTTCATGAGTTACTTCAAATTTAGAGTAACAACTGATTTTCCAGTGTTTGTCAGAAATGTGAATACGCCGTCAAGCAAGCTCGAAAAACTGGTGGAAAGTTATGTAGTGAAATCAGCACGCCTGAAAACCTTGCTGCACAAATTTTTACAATTCTTCGAAGTTATTTAATTAAAAGGTTTCTTTCACAGTGACGCTGTATGCTGAAAGTTCACACCGTGATCCTACAGTAATGAAGAGTGATTGGTATTCGCTTTAGACTGTTAATCTAAGCTCATCCTCGCTCTACAAAATGGTACCTCAAGCTCGGCAAAAGACGTGAAAGCAAGAGAGTTATCAACGATCAAACAACGTGCACATCTTTTTGGGACACTCTATATAGAGCGAATTAACTCACTCCTCACTACTGTGAAATTACCTTAAAATTCACCATTTTTCATACTTAACTTTTCACAGGGCTGTGGAGCTTTTAGACGCCGTAATCACATTTTTTTTGAAACTATTGAAAACATCTGCTTCTGTATACCTGACTTAACTTTTGATGAAGCATTACTGTATTACGTTGTCCCAAAAGTAAACCGTATTGTTCCGAATCTAATGTCGCTTTTTTCAAATGAGCGCCACATTTCATGGAATCAAGATTTTCAAGAGCTCATGGAAGCATTCGATGCAGCATTTCATCCTCTTTCCAATGGTTGTAATTTCATTGCATATTATGCAATGAGCTCTCGAAAAATTACCAAAGTCTGCGACTCATGCTTTTTGCCATGGTCAAGTTCGGCGATTTTTTGAAAATTTTTGTACCTATTCTTCGAAGAAGTATAAGCGACAGATAGATAGACCAAACCTTATAGAAGACAGAGTAATTTTTTCTTTTCCTTAGCTTGCTTCTTAGAGTATCTGGAATGAATTCTTCAATGCTTTTAAATTCCATATTTGGTCATCTCAACCCTCAAAGAACAACAATCGGCAAGCAGCTGAGGTGTCATTCGACGCACTTTTTTTCCACTTTCTACCAGTTGTTTTTTGTCTCCGATTCATCAAGTTTTCCCGGATCAAGTCATCATAATTCAGGTTTTCCAGGACGCCCCAGGGTGTACTCGGAATTTTCAAAAGTTAAGCGGTGAATGCTCATTTGATCTGCAAAATGAGTGTCAAACCGTAATCCATCTTTGTATGTTTCAAAATCCGAAGATTTATTGGTGTTTGATGCATTTGTGCCTGAGACGAGCCTGCTAAAATTCGGTGGTTCCATCAAAAAATCGATATAAAAATTTTGACGAGGTCTGGAAAGTAAGAAAAAGCAGTGCTGTTTCCTGTAGGGTTTCCTCTATCCATCCATTACCTGGACTCCTTTCGAGGGTTGTTATAAAAATTTAGAAAAATTGTGAAACTTGGCCTTTCAAAAAGCATGGGTCGCAGATTTTGATAATTCCTCGAGAAGTTATTGAATTCTGTTCAGTGGTTATATAACCATTAGAAAGAGAATAAAATGCTGCATCACACGCTACCAGAATCCCTTACATATCTTTGTTCTACGAGATGTGGCGTACGTTTGAGAAAAGCGACATTACTTTTGGAACGACCTAATATTTGTTTTCCTGACAGACTTGGGGAACCATTCGATAGAGCAGAGGAAGGTCGAAGTCGCTATCCAGGTAAAATTTGAATCCAAAAATCAAAATTTTTCAGCTCTACTAAAATCGGATCTCCTTCCAGAAAATTCCTACGGACTTCCAACTTGGTCCTTATATAGTAGACACCTAGTAGTATCAAAAATGTTTTTGAGATTTTTTCCGGAGCTCAAAATTGAGAAATAAAGGAAGTCCCAAAATGTCAAAACGGCAGTTTTTGAGGTTCATCATGTAAGACGTGGTATTTCTCAATTATTAGAGCACATACAGGGGTAAAATTTTGAGATTATACTTACTAAGGCTTCTAGTACAGAATGACATAAGTAGGAGGGGCTGGAGGCGTGTTCTGCCATTTTTAGACTATCTCTTTTTCGCTTTTTAAGCTCGGAAAAAATCCAGTAAAGGCGTATTTAAATACTACTGTGTATCTGCTGTATAATGACCAAGTTTGAGTTCCGTACGACTATTCTTCGCAAAAATCCAATTTTCAGGTAATAAATTTCTTTTCAATTTTTGCTTCAAACTTTAAATGGAATGCGATTTACGCGAATCCTTGATGGTCATTTTGCAGAGCTTGCTTCGCTCTATCGAATGTACCACAAGTCTGCCAAGAATACAAAAACAGTTTAACTTGTGTAAAAATACGGTATACTTTTGGGACAACCTAATAGAACACAGATTTCATAATGAAAATTAACGACTCTAACTAGAGTAGCGTAAGAGCGGGTCGTTTGGTTCCTTTCAAGCAATGTGCTCTCAAGGGCTCAAAACCCTCTTTAAGTTCCTACCGTAGTTCTAAAGTAACAAAGAGAGGTCGTTGATCTACTCTATGTTGTAAGTCTAAGTTGAAGCTAATCCTATCGTAGGGTACTCAAAAATCCGCGAAAGCTTTATTATGGGCTGCTGCACGACAAATGCGCAATTTCTTCGGGCCGAACGCTGCTTCATCAGCAGAGCGCATGAAACGCAGGAGGTAGAAGGCTGAGGGTACACGCACGCCGCGTTCACGCCCGCTCAACTAATGCGCCTTCTGCGCCTTCGTCATGCATTAGCCTTTCATCCATCAATTCTGGAACACTCTGTATATAAGCCTATCTACCGTGATCATGAAAAATTGCAAGTGGTTGCAAATTAAGTTAAGTTAGAGGTCAGTAGTAATTATTTAGAACAATGCCATTTTCACTGGGTTTGCCGCTCATGGACGACAATGTCAAGAAGAGCAATCTTCCTCTATTTTTTGGTTGGAAGTAAAGACTCTATGGCTCCAAGAAATGATAGAAATCATTTTCAGCTTGTATGTTTTTTGTGAGAATTCTTGGTCCAGTTATTGGTTTACTAATTGGAAGTAAACTAAACGAAATCTACTACACATTTGATCGTTAGTTTGTTTGAATGGTTGAAATATTAGGTTGGTTCATAAATAATGCGCGTTTTCTAAACTTTAACTTCAAATAAAAAATTCTTTTCAGATACTACCTTTCTGAGTGAGACGAAAACTAATGCAAACAAAAAACCTTCAGCGTCCAGGCAGAACCTCGACTTCAATTTCTTTTGCCTTATCCAGTCCTTTTCATGGCGCTGATTTCAAATGTAACACTCAAAATGCGTCAATCCCCCAAAAAACCCCTTTTTAAGACAATTCTGTAAACCGTTGACAAGTGCTCCTAATGCTATCCTTGTCAAAAGCAAGCAGTTAACAGGTAGACACTATTTGTTCGATTGTGTTTGCCAGGTGAGAACACGTCATGGGCTGGGATGAGTTCGTTCAAGGAGGCGGGTCGTGGAGGGAGTGGGCGTGGTCTTCGAGGCTCGGCCTCTTCTGCACCGATTTTCTCCTTTTACAGGGAGTGTTCAAAAGCCGAATTTGCTCGATAGTTTTAAATCAAGGCTAGTACTCGGTTATGATAGTATTCGAAAATGTCCAAATCTACCCGAACGCTGCCTTTGAGCTATACATTGCAAAAATTGGTGTACCTGTTTTCACTATGGAAAAGGTTTTTTGACCTGGTTATGCCGAAAATTTTTTCTGGAAAACTCTAGTTTGAGGGGGCATAACTTACTCTTCAGTGTGCTAAGATGTCGCAAACTTCACTTATTGTATAGCAGATGGTTGGTTGACTAGTAGAGTGAAACATGGAATTTTACGGGAATTTCCTGCGGGAAAAATCTGGCCAATGAATCGAAAGTACCTTTTTTCTGCATTTTGAAAAAGCAAAAAACTGTTTTTGTTGGAGTTTTTCAATTTTTTTCTTCTTTGAGAAACCAAGAAATCCTACCTTTCCTATCATTAAATGTACTAGGTCCACTCTTCCTGTGCAGAGCGAATGTTCTGCGATCGCTTCCTGCCTATGGTGTTTATACAGTGTAGAAAGGTCCGAGCAATCAGCCGAGTTTGAGCCAAAGCTTTCAAGATTCTTCACATTCATCTCGCCTTGGTAAGCATTTTGTAGCATGATACTTTGCGATTACGATGTACTTTTTTGGAAAAAAAAATTGAGCAATTTCCATGATTTAGAGCAAGTAAGATAAATGGGAAGAATTTTGAGTTTTAGTCTCTTGAATTTGAAGGTATGGAGAACTTTATTCTTGTTAGTTGCTTGAGCGAAGTCCAAAATTGGACTTCGCTCAAGCAACTAACAAGAAGATTGCAACTATGCCAAGATTTATGGACAGTCGAACATGGATGCTCATGGAACTTTGGTTTGAACGAAAACTTCGAAGATGAAACAGTATATGAGAAAATAGAAGAAAAGAGCTTTCATATACTGTATAAAGTTTCCAAGAAAATTAGTTCTACTTTGAAAAGTAGCTTTTGAAAAATGAGGTAAGAAAAACGTGCACTAATTATGAACCAACCTAATATGATCTTCAAACTGAGCCGTGATGTAAATTGGCATAGTCGATCTCTCGAATTTTAGCCCCCCGAGGACTCACTCCATTGGACCCCATGTGGATCGGCTGCTGGTGGTTAGGATTTCTTATCTTTGGGTAAGCTTCTATAAGGAAATTGCACTTGGGTTCGCAGAAAGTGTATTTAGTGGCGTGCTGTTTTTCCCATCTCTTGCGCTATTTCTTTTCCCTTCGGATAATCTTGATGAAGCTGAGTTTGAAAAGGCCAAACCCAACGATGAATCAAAGTGAGTCTATTCCGAGTATTATTTCAAACAAATTTGCTTCAATTTCTTTTTAGACCTTTCAAGCCAGGAAAGAGGTTGAATCTGTTTGATAAGCACATGCAAGTACGCAGAGAACGCACCACCGCTAAGGAAAAAGCTCAAGGTAAATCATTTTATATGCTTGTTTCTCACTTCAGGCTAAGCGACATTTTTAGAACATTTTTAGACAGGTCATTTTTAGAATTCATTGATGTTGTTCGTGGCCTGCTTCGGAATCCTATTTATGCTGGTGCTTGTTTGGGAAGAATTATCGATGTACTGGCATTCAAAGGGTAAGGCAAACTCGAAGCGCTATTCCGAGGGGGTGGGGCGGTTACACTATCTTATGACATGGCTACATAGAGCGGATCTAGCTGAGGTGCTGGGGCACTGCACCACTAAAATTCATCAAAATCTGCTTTCAAAGTCGCTAATACCATGTGAATTGTTTGTAATGCCTGTAGCGCATTCTGAAGTAGATTAAAACGCACTGAGTGTGATAAGCTTCTAGATAGATTTGGATTCAAGATGTTTCTGATTGATAACCGTAACTAAGTAAGCAACTGTGAATTTTCCGCAAGGTGATGTATTCCAATCCACACGAAGGCATCCCCTGTCATAGAACTTTTGCACTTCATTCTAGCCTAAGTCAGTATTTCTATGCATCATTGATACGGCCCTAGTAAGTTTAGAAGATTGAGTAGATATGCAGCATTCTGCGTTTTCTGACCTAGATCGATATCGATACAGGTCAGACAGATTTAATGGGCAGGTAAAGTTAACTACTAGTAACGAAATTTACCAAGTGTAGTCTCTTCAGTCCTATTGGAAAGGTTATAGACAAGCTCGCCTCGTCTTGACTCTTCGTAATCATATCATCACGACTAACTTAGTGTTGAACCACGCTCTTCTGGAGAGACTAATTGTAAGTGTTGAAGAGCTGGCTGCGTGAATTTAGGATATACAGGTTTGAAGAAGTCGACGAATGACGGAACGTTAGTCCAGTAGGCAAAGGATATATCAACCCTAGCTGAGGCTAGAAAATGAAAAAAGTTACATACACAATACCGATATCCATAACAATCGAATTAGGAAAGCAATAAAGAGAACGCTTTCAGAATCGACGTTTCAGGCTGCATCAGGTGATGCCTGTATCACGTCAAACCAGTGCAATTTTTATTGTGAAATCTGAAAGACTTTCACTTTCAGATTCTTTGTATTTCTCGCGAAGTATTTGGAAATACAATTTGGTGTGCCACAGTTTATAATACAAAAGTATCTAGGTGAGGTAATCGAAACTCAGTCTCTGTCTATCAAGAAACTTTTTTCATTTTAGCAGGGACTGGAGTTGTAAGCTTTGCTTTGGGTGTCTCCGTCGGCAGTTTTTGCATGAAAAAGTTTCGATTACAAGGTCAGTTGCGTTTGCGCGCAATCTCCAACTGTTTTATAACTTCGTAACCTAATAGCGTTTATTGAGAAGTTTTAGACAAAAATGAGGAGAGCGGTACTCCTGCTATATTTGAATTGATCCCTGCTGTTGCTTGTGAAATAAACCTGCAGATAACAACAAAACAAGAAAATACTGAAGCCTGGAACATTTGCTTTCTACAAAAAAAAACAGAAAGCAGGAGAACAGACTTTATATGTGTTGCAACAATACCCAGAGTTTAGGCAGACAAGCTGCCCTGTGGGTTGCTACTTGCTCTCTCGTTGCTGCTATGGTACCAGTACTGAATGCCTTCGTTGGATGCAAATCTGTCATTGGCGAGATTGGAGTTAAAGCAGTGTGCGTTTACTTCAATGTTTGATTTTCAAAACGCAATGTTTTTTTAGAGCAAACAACTTCACTTTTCCATCATGTCGACCAGACTGCTTATGTGATGGAATGCCTTTTTATCCAGTTTGTAATAACAAGTAGGGATTTATTAATTTTTTCGCCATAGTGCCTACAATATGATGGCATATATTGTCTGCATTCTACATATCATAAAATTCAAAGTCAAACTAATATGCTTTGAAAATTTTTGATTATTTGCACATGAAATACCTGTAAAAAGATTTGGAAGAAATTTTCTAGGGGGGACATCTTTTACTCGCCATGTCAAGCAGGATGCCCACTTAGCGGAGCTAACTTCACTGTCTTCAGCAAGGCTAGTTTCTAAACTTTCAAAGTTTAGTCCATATCTTTTGTACTACATACATCTGCGGATAAAATGCGTCTGATCTTTTCAGTTAGAAAAAGGCACGCCGTTGGTGTTTACCGAGTGTGAATGCGCTAATAGTGACAACTTTGCTGTAAGCAGAGATTATTGCCCCGTTGGTGGGTTTCTCTATTTCAAATCTTCTTCGCAGTTATTTTTGATACGCTGCATTCGATTATGCCTGCTATGTAAAAAGAGCGACAAGGAAAGGCAAGTTTTTGTTTGTAAACGCTCTGCAAGGAGAACCACATTCTGGAGTGAGCCGTTTTGACGCATGCCGGCTTTATGATTTCATACTCTTCTTCTCACGCATTACATCGACCATGTGCGCAATGGCCAGATCCACTTGGAAAATGTGGCTGTTGAAGATTGATTGTATAATAGTTTCAAGGGGGCTTCCCTAACACCATTCCGCCATCCTCACATCTGCGCAGGCGAACTTTCAGGTTATGCACAACTACAGGCCAGTAGTTTTCACCTAGTAATCACACCGTTTATATGGGTCCTGTCTGGTCCCACAAGTTCGGCGCTGAGAAACTGTACGCGCTTGTCAAAGTAGAGTTCAAATCTGGGTTTCGAGATCTGTCTCTAGAAAAAGGGCTTGAAAAGGCTTGTTACACTAAAATCATGGAGAACGAAAGTTTAAGCGAAAGCTGCCTTTAGTTTGAGTCACAAAATACTCTTCATCCTGCTTTCAATTTAACTGATGGCATGGATGAGTGAGAACAGACTTACGGAGCAAAATTTCTTTTATCACCTACGAATTGAATTTTGGAAAAGAGTGCAAAGAGTTGATTGCTGATTGATGCAATCAACAATCTGTAAGAGTTGCCCATCTACTATGTTCTTCTTCGTTCTATGGTAATTGATGAGAGCACTTTGCCGTTTGCAGTTGTAAGCTTAGATTACTGGGCAAATATTGCACAAAACTGTGTTCTCATTTGGGTCCTCTATAACATTTGAAAAATTACTTACATTTTTATTTCTAACTTTCACCTGTGTCACCTCCCCATTGATCGTCGCTTAACATCTTGACACGAGCGGGATCCAGTGACGTCTCCATTCGTCCTTGTCGCGAGCGACCGTTAACTAATGTCTTCTCATCGCACCAAGCACACAAAGAAGGCTCTAAGGGTTTCTTTGAAGGACTTAGTAAACATGTTCGACCATCGAGTCGCTTCCTGCGTTTGACGTCTAGCGGTGTCCACCGTTGTACCTTTAGTCCACCAATTGTCGTCAAAACTCATCACGTGCCCGGCCCACCGGATTTTATTTTGTTTGGGGTATGCGGCAGCATTCCTGATTTTCTATCGTTGACTTGGCGTGGAGCTTCGTATTCCTTCCCTCACGTGCGCGAATCGGGACACTCCTAACATAGCTTTCTCAACAGCGCGTTCGATAACGCTCATTGCATGTTCGGCCTGCTTTTTCATGGTTCATGTTTCCGAGGCGAACGTCAAAGCAGGCAAAACCGTCATGTTGAAGATGTGCGCGGAACCGGGTGCTCTTGGTCTTCTTCACTACGTCCTTAATTGCCTTGTATGCTCTCCATGCTGCTCGTTTCCTCCTGCTCAGTTCCGAGCTAGATCGCCATGGTTACTTCTCCACTAGGAAGAGGTAGCTAGAGCATTTGGTGATCGTCAGCGTGAGCGTGAAAAGGAGCATCAGGAACCCATCCGTTTCTCATGAACATCGTCCTCGTCAGATTTAGCTTTAGACCGATCTTTCCACACACGTCGTCAAACTGGTCAGCATTTGTTCCGCCTGCGTGATGTCCGGTGTTATTAGGACTATGTCATCAGCGAAGCGAAGGTGGTGTAGTTGCAGTCGACTTTCACACCCATGTCATCCCACTCTAGTGTCCGCATGACGTTTTCAAGAGCAGCGCTGAAAAGTTTCGGCGATATGGTATTGCCTTGTCGTACTCCTCTCTTCACGTCATGGTGATGTCCTTGTAGAATGGTGTGATCTTCGTTGTGAAGTTGTTGTACAGCTCACGAATCATCTTGATGTACTGAGTTGGAATACCTTGACTGCCCAAGGCGTCGGTAAAAGCCTCAGTCTCAACCGAAAATTGCCTTCTTCAAGTCGATGAAGGTGAGACAGAGCGGCATTCTGTACTCTCGCAAAACTTCGATGAGCCTTGTTATCGTGTGTATGTGGTCCATAGTGCTAAGACCTTTCCGAAACCCAGCTTGCTCGCATGGTTGTCTTTCATCTAATTCTCTTCCGATCCTGTTAAGCAGTACTCGTGTGAAGAGTTTGCAGACTGTAGACAACAGGCAGATGGGGCGATAATTTTCGATGTTGCGGGGTCTCCCTTCTTGTACAGCAACACGGTCTTGCTGGTCTTCCATTGATTTGAATCGTACCCTCCGTCAGGTTACTGCGTGAACAGCCTTGCTAGAGTTTTGATAAGTACAATGAGAGATTCTTCAGGTGTGCCGGGCAGATCATCGGCCCCGACTGCTGCACGGCTTTTTATTGACATGATAGTATGTTGAACCACTGAAGGAAGAACTGATGGTGCAATATATTCGTCTACCTTGAGGTGGCAAAGTGATAGGTAGACGTGACTCGCAAAGAGATGCGAGTAAAATTCGTGGATCGGGAAAAGGGTGGTTTTATCAGGGCGGTGGAGTGCGATTACCTTGGTCTTGAAATTGACTATTCCTCAGCGGGCGTTGCGTATACTCTTTCCAGCCTCCGCGGCGTGAACCATAACTTGTACTCTTTTTTCTGACTTCTTTTATCGCTTCTCTGTATTCCTTCGCGAGCTCAGACGTAAGTTGCTAATTGCCTAAGGCTCGTGCTCGTCCGCGTTGTCGTATTAGCTCTGGTGTCCCCGTTGACAGGCGCTTCCCGGTACTTCTTGGGCTCTCAGCTTCCTTAGCACAGTTGTAGAGATGGTGGATAAACCTTTCGTATTCCTCGTCGATATTGGCGACCGCGGTTTCTCGCCAAAAGCCGGATATGGAAGAAAACAGGTTTCTATTGATGATGGTCCGATCCCTTGTAGAATTTCGGAACAACAGCGAGGTCGGTCAGGCAATACCTTCTATTAACGATGATTTGATCGATCTCGTTATGGTACTCTCCATCCGGTGATTCCCAGGTCCAACGTCGGGAAGGGGGCTTTTGGAACTGTGAGTTTCCATGGATAGTCCTCGTCGTCATGATAAACTCGGACAGTCTTTCTCCTTGTTCGTTCCACTGCAAACCATGGGTTCCGATGTGAAGTTCCTCAGTCAACCTTCTAGTTCCGATCTTCGCGTTGAAATCACCGACGATGATCTTGTAGAAGGTATGATCTTCTCTGTAGAACTTCTCCAAGTCCATACAGAGTTCCTCGAGTTCGTCCTCGTCGTAGCTGGATGTTGGGACATACGCAATGAAGACCGTCAAGGCTGGGGTTGATCGACATTCTGGTATTCGTAAACGTCCGATCTAGGTTGTGAGTTGTTCGAATGAATCGATGCTCACGGTCACACTCGTATTGACAAGGGTTCCTACACCGCCGCCTCCCTTGCGGTCGCATGTTTCTAAGAACACTCCCTCTCCAGTATCAAAAGTGGCGTTCAGCTGGTGGTGTCTCCTTGTCTCGTTCAGTTCGATGACGTCGTACTTGATCTTCTTTGCTTGCATCAAGAGATCTTCGATGGGTGTGTTCGATGCGAGTGTCCGTGCGTTGTAAGCAACGATCGTCATCATCGTCTCGTTTTTGGCAGCCTAGTCGCCCTTCAAACCGTGTCACCACCGGAATTGCCTTATCAGTGGCTCTTCTAAGATTAAGAGAGCTTTCCATTATATTGTTTATATGTGTTTCGCGATCAAATTGCTCACAGGAGCAGCTTGTTGGGCTCAATTCTCCTGCGAGGAACGGTCGAACCATATTTGTTAGAGGCGACTCCAAGCCCGCTTCTCCCTCACCTACCCTGGAAATAAGTATGCACTTTTAACGGAGGGAGAGAGTCCGTCATTCAGCTCCGCTTTCTTATCAGAGCAGGCGGGGTCGCTTTTGGTCGATTAGCCCTCTATCCGCCACCTGACGATGTCCCACGTAGCCTCGCGACGAAATGGCTGGAGTCCCTCTGAGAAGGAGATCAGTGGCACCGAAACCTGCACTGGCGGAAGCTTTCTTGGCCTACGCTCAAAGCCTTCGACGCACAGGTCACGACACTCAATGATACAAGGCATAAGCCAGTACCTTAGAATCAACTGACCTTTCTAATTTTGCAGTTGAGAAATTGACCCACATAAAGCCAAACTGCGAAGCACCAAGAACGGAACAGCATAACCACATATGGCAAACGTAAACGATTTCTTTGCACTACGTCAAACTGGAACAAATTTTTGCTGGGAAGTCTTTGATTCAACCTTTAGTGGACGCAATTACGCAATCAAACTTGTTGATAACCTTTAACTGAACAGTTAAGAATGTACTGTAAGCCACTAGCGCTCATCTGGCTAGATCGTGAAATAAAAAATATTTTTCAAGAATCTAGTTAGAATTTGGTCAACTCCAAAGATTGATTCTAGAGCATTGTAACAGTCAGTTCAACACATTCTTCATCTTTCAAGCGATTGGTGCTATATTTGCTGGACTATCAGTGGTACCTGGAATGCTCATAGTTTTGAGGTAGAGCTTTTGATCTTTTTTCATTAAAATATAAAAATCTTTTAGGTGTGTTCCTCCAGAACATCGCAGCATATCGCTGGGATTTAGTGGCTTCCTCGTCAGCCTTTTAGGTAAGGGTCACTAATGCTTTTCGAAATATCCAAAGTTGCGAATAAGCGGTCTAAATCGTTGAGTAAGATTTGAAAGTAACGTTGAAAAATTGCGTAGAAATCTCCTCTTGTTGCTTTCGACTGCGGACGCTACGGCTGGCAGAGAAGGCATGACAATAAGTCACATCTTTACATTCTCTGTAAGTGTGTAACTTGCACGATGCTCTACAATCCGAGAGGTTTTTGCATACTCTCGTGAGCATTTTGTTTGATTGAATAGTCTAACATTTTTATTAACCAGTGCCAAAGAAAAGTGCTTGGTTCTCATGCTGTCGTGGGAAGTTTCACTGAAAAAAAAGTAATTCAAAATGAAGGAATGACCTTTTGGACTACTCAAATACATTCATTGCCGCTAATACAAAGATTTGAATAATCATGTCGTAGCAGCAAAGCAATAGACTCCAAAAACCATTTCACCATCTTTTTGTATACAACAAAAAATCTCCAAATGTGTGCGTATGCCTTGTTCTTTTCGCGAGTGCGCTCCCTAATCATTTCCCACCACGAGCGTGGGGACGGCAGACTCTGATCGCTTATTTTGTGAAGCGCGAATAAAATTCCAAGTCAAAAGTGCAAGTCACTAGCCATCGGCGGGAGGCGGAGCTTTAGAGAGTCGGAGTTGGAATGGCTCGGCTCTGGAGAGCGGCCTCCTCTCCCCTGTGGCTGCGCGCTTCCCGTCTGGACCCTCGTGAGTGAATGTTGTTTTGAAGTATGTCCGCTGTTATTGTGGTGTTTAATGTGCCTAATCATGTACTTGCTTTGCAATTTCCCATATTCTTTCTTTAATGTGCTTTATATATTTATTCCGCATTGCTTTTGCTGCTTATAGATAAAGGTGTGGTTAAAAGATTCTTAGTTTTGAAGAGTAGGAACGGAGATGTAAAGGATCGGAGTTGCGTATGAATATCAACAATGTCGGCGCCCGCTTGCACATAAAATTAAAGTCTACACTTCGGAACCGCGGGCGTTATATGGAGGTTCCGGCGAGATCACGAAAATCGATAAGATGGCGAAAACCAGCGGGATGACGAATCGGAAAGATCGCGGAAATTTGTGGACTCACGGTGGCGAGATCATGGAATTTATGAGCTACGAAAATTGGAGAGATAACAACTTCGGCGAAATTGTTGGAAACAGTGAGAAGAAGGTTTTGAGTGAGAGACACGAGATAGAAGTACTACCAATGCATGATAGCTTTTGCAATGGCGCCACGCAAAATCTATCATATTTTCTCGTTGTCTTACATTTGTATTTGGTTTATGCTATCCTTGGCTGTGCATACGATCACCGCTTCTGCTTTTGCATGCTTAGTAAGTTTCAGCTAATAATCGGCAAGATGACAGTCACACTCGCTCATTTTTTTTAACCGCGAAGGAAGAAAATGCCGAAAGAATAGTGGAAAGGAAACAAATATAAGTGACTGGGAGGAAAACTCCGACGGGTAACGTAGAGAGCGAGGAAAAAAAAACCCTGCGCAGGTGACGCTCAACTTCGCGGATAAAGTTAGCAAATTAATGTTTTGAGCGTTCCAGAAAATGTATTTAATGTGTTTTATCGCTTTGCTTTGCTTGCTGTTTATGTTTTTGTGATCGTATGTTCAGATTTCTGGAAGAAACAGGTGAAAGTACGCAATTGTTCTACGTCTGAGCTGTAATGGTAACGTTTAGTCTTTACTCATTCTCTCAAGTGTGCAAAATTTGCAGCGATTGCAGGAGTGCAAGCTCATTCATTGTGGTTGCGAAAGTTCGACTTGCAAAACAGAAAGTGCAAGTTAGTGCCGCGCCCTTTGAGTTATGGCATCGTAAACCTGACATTTGTGAATTATTGCCCATAGACCTTAGGTGTAAAGCAGTTTCGCTGCAAAGATGCTTATCGTAACTGATTTGTTTCCGCTCGCCGCTCGTGCACTTTTAACCTCGCTGCAATGAATCGTAGACTCCGAAATTTATGTGGCCTCGGGCTCCCCTCATTATTCTTTCCATTTTGTACTTTTGCACAAATGCTCTTTTAAGTTTGAAGGAGGAGCCTTTGCTCCTTACTCGCAATTCCGATCGTGCCCCGTGCGGTAGGTTTTAATCTGATTTATAGTAGTGTACGTAAGAGCCTTCAAAATTGTCGCTCCGCTTTTATGTGTTTAGGTTAGAAGCCAACCATCAAACTCTCATCCTCTGGTGCGCTCAATTTCAACTCAAGTTTCCATCCCCTCCTTCAACTTCCAGTAATAGGAGGTGAGTCTTTTGTATTAGTATTGATATTGGTTAGTTTTCTCTCTCAAGTTTTCACAGAGTGATATTATTGTGTAGTCCAAAACCTGAACTTGTTTTGAAACTGAGTTTCTCTGAAAATATTATTCTCTCATTTTTCTTTCTCCTTCAATTTCTTATTACTTTTGTGTAAAAAAATCCATAATATTCATATCTTTCCTTTTTCCTTACTCTCTCTCCTTCTCTCTCTTAACACTGCTGTCCAAGTTCCAATCCCCCGAGACCCGTAAGTTCATCTTGGTGCAATCTCCATCCAAACTGGAAACTAAGAAACTTACGGAGCGTGAGAAACGACTTTTGGAAAGGCAGAAGAAGACTGAACAGCGAGGTCGTCCATCCACAAGTTCTTGGACTCCAGAGAAAAAGGAAGGAAAGCCAGAATCACCGAGACGATCCACCAGTGCTGAGCCACCTCCAGAGAGAAAAGACTACAAAGGAACAAAAAGCACATCCTCCAAATCTACGCAATCAACAATGGAAGCAAACAATGATCAACTGAGCCTATATCAGACATGCAGGCTTTTGGGTGATAGACTCGTCAAGTTCTCAGGCATAGGAGACCGTACATTTGAGGAGTTTCTGGAAGAGTACAGAGATCTCATCGAACGCCTTCGTATTCCACACCCTAAGGCCAAAATTCTGTTGCCTATGTATCTTACTGGACCGGCGCGCATCAAGTACAATAACATCGAAAATGTGCAGAACCTTGACTGGGAGACTCTTGTCACTACTTTGGCGAAGAAATTCAAGAACGACGCCTACTTGAGTAATCTGCGTGACGAACTTCATAACATCACTCAAGGAAAAGATAGTGTCGCCGAATTTGCGCAGAAGGTCTACAACAAGTGCAAATTCGCTTTTCAAGGCATGGATAAGGATTTGACGAATCAGATGGCTATAGACTTCTTCATCAAAGGCCTCAACCCACAGATCCGTAAGGCCATGCGACGTCTCCCGGAAGCAAAAGATTTTGATGCCGTTGTTGCCGCAGCTGAGAAAGAACATCGCATACTTCAGCAGGAAATGCACGAAGACCGAGATACGATCCACGCGATTAATGCCATCATCGCTGATGATAAGCTCGACCGACTGGAACGTGAGCTGAATACGCTTAAGATTCAACAAGCTCGCAGGCCTACAGCTTCTCAAATGCGCGGAAGAGGGAACTTCAGAGGAAGCTCAAGACCCTTTCCCTCGGGATACAACTTCTATAACCGGCCGCGCGGAACAACTTATCCGAACAGGAGAAGGCCCTTCAGAGGCAGGCCACGTGGTGGACCATATTGGCAAGGATCCTTCCGCAATCCACCTTACAACCCGGAGATGCCGACCACAAGCACATATCCATATCCGACACCTGCTGAATCCAATCCTCGACAGCTATTCAATGCATCCCATCTACTGTGTATCGTCGCCATAACTATGATGTCGCTCACCGCATTGGCATCAGCTCAGTCATATCAGGTCTGTGGCACTAACCCATCTGCCAATATCATTGCTCTCCCTGTGCCAGTGAATTGTACAGTATCGTCAGAGGAACCTCTAATGCGCATGCCAGTCCGTCTTTACACCGAAACAGATGAACCACTGCGCGTAAATGCGACAAAGTGTTATCGCGATGTCGTCAAAGTGGCAATTACAAACTTTCTTTATATACGAACAAAAAGAGAGATTGTCGAGCGTTTCCGTCTTTCGGTTACCCGTGAATTGTGCGACCAGATGAGAGCGACTGGTAAAGCCCATGACCACGACCTGGAACAAATTTTGCCTGGATTCTATGCCACGAACGAAGTAGAAGACGATCAATATAGTCTACCTCTATGGGGAACGAACCATTATTTGCGCAGCATCTACACTCTTGAATATGGAGATCTTGCTTCGTTTGATGGAAAACGTGTTATAAGCTCCTTGGCCAACCTCCAGAATTGCACCCTGTCCGACGGCTTCTGTTTGCTGAAAGAAGAAACTATCATGTGGGAGCCTGTTAACAGTCCTTCACTATGCCCTTACAAGTTCGCTGGATCCTTCAATTCCTATGTCACCGCCAAGTTCGCGTTAATTCCTCAGTCCGAACTAGCCTTTGAATTCTACTCGGATGCAACAGCTTATGCCGAGATAGCTGTAAGATGCGGCTTCTCAGGATTTTCACTAACCACTTCCCATCACGTCCTCATTTTCCCACAACTTCCTACTCATCTCTCTCTTCAACGATATATCTTGGAGGAAAGTTTACATCGCCGGGAAAAACGAGAAGTCCGATATATCACGGATTCAACAGGAGCGAGGTCATCATACGAGATGATTCCTAAACAATCAGAGCCCTTGATACGAAGGCTTTTTGGTATTACGGAGTTAACACAGCTGCCATATTTCGCCACAACGCCTATAAAGGAACCAAGAATTATAAGAGAAATGGAGAAATGGAATGTCACCAACAGAGATTTCCAACTTCGTAGAAGACTCTATGCTGCTGAAGATCCGAGACTGACCGTGCTGCGTACCATACGATATGCCGAGTACAGATGGAAACAGTTGCTGGAGTTCGAAAAAGTACGCAAGACCCGGATGTACACGTATGCAGAGTTTTCTACTCAACGAGATTTGCAAATGGGCATAAGTCCTATTTTTGATGAATATCTCGCTGAAGAATTCGGACCCGCTCGGATTGTACTTGGAAACGACACGTCCACTATCCCTATCCCTTTTTACACCATCATTACCTCACCTGTGGAAGATTTGCCACCAATACCAATCATTACAACTACGACGACGACGAGAGCCCCCACGACAAGAAGAACGACCACGTCGACTACAACGACAAGAAGTACAACTACTACTAAACATTACGATGAAGTCACTGATTATCCCGATGATTATGTTGCTGACGTCTTTCAATTTGATTCCACAAGTCAGCCGACTCAGGCACCTCCGACAACAACTACCCAGACTCCTCGACCTCGATCGACTCAGAAACCTTTACCAATCACCTTACCTGAAAGACCTCGGACGGCTCCAAGTTTCTCCACCAGAATCCCTCCAACTCAAGCTCCCAGCCAGTCCTTTCATCGAGTGCCTCCAAGACCTCTAGCAACTCCCTCTACACGACTTCCTATAAGACCTCCGAATTTGCCCGTCCAAACGGCGACGCTCCAAATCCAGACGCTTCAACGACCTCTACCTTCATCACCAAAGTCCACGACTACTGTCTCTCCAAACCCTTCGAAGAAAGCTCGTGAAGTGGATTCTTACTATCGAGAAACATATAATAATATTTGTAATCGGCAGTACCTCAACACCTTGCGAATTCGCACGTTCAGTACTGTAGAGCCGACATGGGCAGCAAGAGAACTTCTCCAGAGGAATGATGTAGTAGCAACGTTACAGGACAGTGAACTCTTCGTGACACGTTGCAGACCTGTGCACCCACAGAAGATTTTTGAAGACCACAGGGTGAATGACACCTGCTACGTGCTTACACCCGTACAAGCTGATGATGCTATATGGTTCGCTGTACCCGGAACTCAAGATCTGCTCCCTATATCGGCCACTACTCCCTGCCCATATTTACCTCAAAGGAGATCTCATCATCTTCAATACGTATTGCCCCCAAATAACCTACAACCGGCTCATCTGTTCCTCTTCAATCCTCCTTCGGTTTACTCCCAGAGTCATGGATACTTCACACCGTTCGCGCGATTCTATCTCCAGGTCCTCGAACAAGACCAAGAGAATTTGGATAATCGACTTCAAAAACGAGGAATATTGGATGATGCCCTGGATAGGATCAGATCTGCCAAAACTTCACTGGGAAAATCTATTCACTCCATCTACCAAACGGCCACTGAGAAACTTTCGGCAGGCGTGAATCAAATCAAATGGTCTCTAATCTATTTCATCTTGTGGGTCTCTGTACCCATCGTCGTTGTTTTCATTCTGGTTTCCGCATGTGTGATTGGCTTCAAGTTGTACTTCGCCCGCAAAACAACCACAGCCGCAGCCTCCGCTATGATTGATCTCGCGAATACACTTACGCGGAAGAAGAGCAGACAGAGAGAAATCAATGCTATACCACAGGAAGAGATGGAGATAAGAGAAGAACGACTTTTCATACCACGTATTTATGCCATATCTACCAGGAAATCGCGCTTGCCTTACATTAAGATCCATCTTTCCGGCAAGCCAGTTACGGCATTGATAGACAGCGGTTCGGCCATTTCATGTGTATCCGTATCCACCCTACGATCCCTCAACAAATCCCTGCCGGCTTCATCTAACCCATCTATTGCCCTCGCAGCCAACGGTACATCGATCACATTGTTGGCACATGTGGAATTACCGGTCATCATAAATGGTCATGCAGTAAGCCACAACATGCATGTATTGAAGGATGAAGAGTGTCCAGCACCAGCCCTTCTAGGTTCAGACTTCCTTCAACGTCTCAATGAGCTAGGTCTGAAGGTAACACTGGACCTATACAAGCAGCAGCTTATAGTGGGAGACCAAACCCACAAATTAACCCAGCTCAATAGTATCATGCTGCCTCAGAACGTACCTTATCCCGTACGATTGGTCGAATCTGTTACTCTGCCTCCTCGGACTAACAACTTAGTATATGCCAGGATTGACGGATACTTTTCCACTATTCCAACTGATTTCTACATTGAAGACAATCACCGACCATCGGACGAGATTTTTATGATTGGAAGATCCCTTTTAACACCAACGCAGGATGGAAGATGTTTTGTCAACATCATGAACCCTACAGCTACCTCCGTCCTTCTCTACGCTTGCATGAACGTGGCTAATGCGATTCCTATGTATCCGACTGACTTCCAAATCTGCTGTATCCAACCATCCTCCTATATTCCCCCTGAGGCAGACTGGGAGAACTCAATGCCTCTTTATCCAAAAACCGGAAATCAATTTTATGATATCACCTCAGAAATCAATTTCTCACAATGTGCCTTGCCATCGAACTTGCTGGAACAACTCAAGGGAATCATTCGCAAGCATGCGAATGCCTTCGTCGGACCTGATGGGAACCTTGGACATTACAATGGATCAATTCGGCACCGGATCGATCTCATAGAAGGAAGCATCATACCAGCTCGAAAGATTTACCGAGTACCTTTGGAAAAGCGCATAGAAATACAAAAGCAAATAGCACAGATGCTGAAAGATGGAATCATTCGAGAATCTACATCGCCCTTTTGTGCTCCCATCGTACTAGTTCGCAAACGAGATTCCAGCAGCTGGCGCTTCACCATCGACTTTCGTGGACTGAATGCAATCACCAAACCACAGCAATCAGTGCTTCCGAACATTCAGGATATTCTCGATCTGTGCGCAAATCAGTGTTTATACACTTCCTTGGATTTCCAACAAGGCTTTCATCAAATCCCCTTGGAAGAATCACACTGTGAAAGAACAGCCTTTGCGTGCTTCCTAGGCGCCTTCGAGTACCTGCGAATGCCCATGGGACTGAAGGGTGCACCAGCTACATTCCAGCGGATAATGGAAGATTTCAAAAGGTATCTCAGAGCGAAAGTATTCATCTATATCGATGACCTTATCATCACCTCCGAGACACCCGAAGAACATCTGCAGGACATAGATGAAGTACTTGAAAAGATCGAAGCAATTGGAATGAAGCTCAAAGCGTCCAAATGCGAGTTCGGAAGAGAAGAGATCACATTCCTTGGATTTGTACTCAGCAAGGACGGAATTCGCCCAAATCCAGAGAAGACCAAGGCTATAGACCACTACCCAATACCAAGAAACGTCTCTGAAGTCAAAGCTTTTCTTGGAATGTGTTCGTTCTTTCGAAGATTTGTTTACAATTTCGCTGTAATTGCCGCTCCGTTGTTCGCTCTGACGAAGAAGAACACTAAGTTCCAATGGTCGAAGGAATGTCAACAAGCCATGGACGAACTCAAGAACGCGTTGACATCTGCACCAATCCTGGTTGCACCACGACTAGGACGTCCCTTTATTATTGAAACAGATAGTTCAGCCAAAGGAATAGCAGCTGTCCTTCGCCAGGAGCAAGATCAAGATCTCAAGGTCATCGCATATGTTAGCAGAGCTTTGAATAAACACGAATCTTCTTATCCGCCCACAGAACTTGAGGCTCTAGGAGTAACATTTGCAGTTCAGAAATTTCGTCCATATATAGATGGAGCCAAATGCACAGTGATTACCGATCATTCTCCGTTGAAAGCGTTGTTGCATCGAAAAGATCTTACAGGAAGGCTGGCTAAATATCAAATCGTGCTTCAAGAATACGACATTGAGATAGTTTATCGCCCAGGGAAGAAGAACATCGTCTGTGACACGCTTTCTCGACACCTTCCTGAAGTCAATGCTGTAACGACATCACACGACGCCACTACTAGCTACCTAAATCCTCTTAAAGCAAGGAAGGAACAGGATGATTGCGAGTGGATAAGGAGCTATAAAGAAGCTCTAAGAGATAACTGTGATGTTCCCGAACTCACTGAGTATATTCTCATCAACGACATGCTCTACAAATTGCCCGAACGAATCTATCAAAATCCTCGATTAGTCTTACCCGAAGATTCTACGTTGAAGAACCACCTCGTAGCCCACGTCCATTCTTCTAATTATGGAATAGCACACTTGGGCATCAAGAAAACGTCAGCCGCAGTCTCTAAATTGGCCATATGGAATAACATGTACAAAACCATCCGTGATTATGTTACCAATTGCAAGATATGCCAAGACCGCAAGGACCCGAATGCATATCGTGTCAACGAGCCTCTTCATCAGTTTGAAACGCCAATTAGACCATGGCAGCGTGTGCACTCGGACGTAATTGGTCCTCTACCACTTACGCTGGAAGGAAACAAATTCATAATTGTTTTTGTTGACGCCTTTTCCAAATATATCATTGCGGAACCTATTCCCGATCAAAAAGCTGACACTTCCGCTGACGTCTTCATCAATCGTTGCGTCGCCAGATTTGGAACTCCCGAACTACTGGTAACCGATCAAGGCTCTAACTACATGAGTGAAACATTCAAGGAAGCTCTCAAGGTACTAAACATTGTGCACAAGACCAGCACGCCTTATCACCATGAGAGCAACGGACAAGTTGAAAGAGCGAACAGGACGATTCAGGAACTAATTTCAATGGCTACCAAAGATCATCCAGACCGATGGGACAATGTAATCCATATGATTACTTACGCCTACAATACCTCGAAGAACTCTACTACAAAGTACTCTCCATATACCGTTATCCATGGATGTGAACCTAACAACCCATTCCGTGCGGCCCTCCAACTACCTGCGAGAAAGTTCGTTGATGAAAATGACTATGCTAGCCAGCTGACTATGATCTTGAAGAATGTATGGCAGGACGTTCACCACAACATGGAAGAAGCCCAACAGGTCCAGAAACATCAATACGATCTCAGAAAAAGAACTTCACCAAAGGAATTTAAAATAGGACAAAAAGTACTTATAAGAAAACCAACAGGACATAAACTCGCACCTCGATTTGAAGGACCATTTGAAATAATCGACATCGATCGTCCCAACATCACCATCCGGGATGGACGACGCAGTCGCGAAGTTCACATGAATCGAGTCAAAATCTACAATGAAGCAGACATGACTGAAGGCCAAAACAATGTTTGAGGAACGCAAGCCACAGCTTTCCCCTATTATCACCGCACCATAGAGCATCTTTTCTCATCACCACAAGATAGAAGCATAATAAAAAACAACTCACCAGCGACTACGTCTAAGGTACTTCAAACATCTCACACCACTTCGAAAGGATCGATGGCGACGGAAGAGCTATTTCCAGCGGCATTAGATGGATGGCAGCGGCTGGCAGCGGCAGCCGCCGCTGTCAAAACACGACAGTGGAAATGCGAGTAGATCAAAGCAAGGATAAACAATAAGAAGAGCAAGGTCATTAAATGTAATACCCCTCACGCGCAGCTTATTGAACATCTCAGTGGGAAACCCGTCTAACGACAACAAGTCACATCTGCACCATGAGATTAAGGAAAAAAGAAGAAGAAGAAAATTCTCGATTTAGTATTCAATTTGATAAATTTAGTATTGTAATTTTTCTTAAGGTAATAATATAATATCACTCTGTCTGTAGTGTAGTTTATTATAATTTAATTATTTGTATCTATTTATGTGATTTAATTCTCATGAATATTTCTCAGATGTATCCCACGGAACCGCGTGTTGAATATTGCATCGAACTCCAAGATGAACAAGGACAAGTGGTGTGGATGCCCATACCCAATCCATTTGAAGAACATCGCCAAGAGGAAGAATCCAATACTCCTTCATCAGAACCCATATCCGCGCCAAATGCTAATTCTGAAGGTCGTCCGCAAGAAAATACCAGAAGAGCAACCACGGAACCTTCATCACCTCTTTTCGGCGCCGGCGCTCGTCCAGAGGAAGGAAAAGATCTATGGTTCTATCATCTCAAACGACGTGCTCACGAAAAGGGCGAACGTGTGCTTGAACCCCTTCCGGCATACTCTAGCATTGATGAACGTCTAATACCTGGAAACGACCCGAGAGTCGGATGCATTGTGTGCGGAAATAGCACGCACAGAACATTCTGCTACGACGCCGACGTACCTTTCTGGCAACGTCTAAGACTTGTACTTGAATACCAACTATGTAGAAGATGTGCTGAACCCCATGAAGGAGTCACCTGTCCATCAACACTGCGATGTTCCAAATGCTGGCGCCGTGATGATCATCCAACTTTCCTTTGTAGATCCACACGTAGGATTGATCAGTGGTCTGATGATGAATCTGATTAATAGTTCCGGAGGACCGGAACTTTTTTTGAAAGGGGTAAGATGTGAAGCGCGAATAAAATTCAAAGTCAAAAGTGCAAGTCACTAGCCATCGGCGGGAGGCGGAGCTTTAGAGAGTCGGAGTTGGAATGGCTCGGCTCTGGAGAGCGGCCTCCTCTCCCCTGTGGCTGCGCGCTTCCCGTCTGGACCCTCGTGAGTGAATGTTGTTTTGAAGTATGTCCGCTGTTATTGTGGTGTTTAATGTGCCTAATCATGTACTTGCTTTGCAATTTCCCATATTCTTTCTTTAATGTGCTTTATATATTTATTCCGCATTGCTTTTGCTGCTTATAGATAAAGGTGTGGTTAAAAGATTCTTAGTTTTGAAGAGTAGGAACGGAGATGTAAAGGATCGGAGTTGCGTATGAATATCAACAATGTCGGCGCCCGCTTGCACATAAAATTAAAGTCTACACTTCGGAACCGCGGGCGTTATAATTTAGCCTGGGGAAATGATTTGAAAGCACATTTGCGAGCGATGCAGAGTCCAGTGGCCGTATTCATCAACGAACCCCGAGGGTCACACTAACCCTGGAGGGTTAGTTTAACCCTGGAAAGCGTTTGACCCGTATTCATGAAACACAGGGTAGGCTTAACCCTGAGGGCTAAATCTAACCTTGAGGGTTAATTTTACCCAGAAAGCGACTAACCCGTATTCATCAACGAACCGTGAGGGTTAAACTAACCCTGGAGGGTTAAACTTACGTGATTCATCAGGGTTAATTTAACCCTAGCTCAAAGCAAGGTTAACTCTACCCTACCACTTCATGCAAACATTTACACGCATTTAATAGTATATGGAAAACGATCAACGAGTATTGTAGTATTTAGTATCGGTTGTTGTTATAGTATTTAGTTTCGACTTCGTTTTATGTTCATATTCGAAGTACGTGAAACACTGGCTCCGCGAGAAAAAGAATTCTAGCTTTGGTGACAAATGAAGGCAACGAGGAAAAATAGCATTCCACTCTGACAAGTGCCAAAACAGAAGAATCCCTCTATAATAACACGCATTGACCCCTAAAAGAGTAGCACACAAGCCCGGTATAAAACGAGCTGCGCAAAGGTAGAACTTACACTGCACAATTGCGCACATGAAAATAAACTCACGCTGTAAGATTGGATGCTGCACAAGTATGCTAGAGATGTATTATAAAAACTAATGTTAGAAGCTTATTCGTTGACTATACTACTATCAAGTGAAAGAGTAGAAGTATAAAGTGAATTTAGCCCGTACTTAGGCATTCTGTGATGTGAGTTTGCACAGCGCACGCGTAACTGACGCCTTAACCCTCCAGGGTTAGTTTAACCCTCAGGGTTGATGAATACGGCCACAGGTTCGTTGATCGATACGGGTAGATCGCGTTCCGTGGTAAACCCTAGCCTATGGTTGATGAATACGGCTAATGAACTCTGAGGGTTAAACTAACCCTGGAGGTAAGCTTAACCCTCAGGGTTCGTTGATGAATACGGCCACAGGTGAGGCCGCCGCAAAGAGCCGAACCCCACCCAGCACCCATCACTCTCAATGGTACAGGGGAGTACTGTATTTTTCCATTAGACTTCATTCTGCGTAGCTGAATGAGCTGGAACTTTGCACACATATGTTTTCGGACCTAGAAAATGCCATAAGCTACTATTGAGCCGATTCGCTATCTCCTATCGGTTTTAATTTGTGGCACTTTGCAATGAAGTCAACTTTTATCGACCGTAACAAGTCATATTCATGATTCCATGGAAGCAACACCAGTAAAGCTTATCTCAATTTCGAAATGGGAAGATTGCGGTAAATCAGGAACCATATAGCAGGTCGGTTAATACTGGTACCGAAGCGTGTTTGTCAGGAGGCGGACCAACATGCTGAGGGGGGGGGAGGAGCGGTTTCAAATCGCCTTAGTAATAAAGCAATATTCATTAGCAATCCGAAGTTGAATGATTCAAAATAAGTGATACAGCACTGCTGATAGCTTGTACCTAGCAATCAAAAAGATTTTCAACCTGGGGGTACCCATCGATAGAGCAAACCAAGCTTTACAAGATGACCTTTGTATAGGGTATTTGAAAAATCGTGACGATGGCGCGACCGCGCGCGACACGCACGCCACTTTCGGGTGTCGCGTTTTCTTGGTTTTCATTTTCTGTTGAATGGTTTTTTGCTTATGTATGATAATATTTAGACACTGGAAGTGACTGAGCTAAACGTTGAGGTGATGCCTTCTTGTATGAACGTTTATGCTCCTATAGTTGTAAAGTCCGCAGCAAAATCATCGCCACGATTTTTTAAACGAACTATACAATGGCGTGAGTCGTTATTTACGCAAAGTTGTAAGCCAAAACATAAAAGCAACTCATAAGCCAAAAATCGTATTTTCGCTCAAAAATCCTACGAGCCTCATGTTTGCTTCTGCATGTAACAAACATATGCATTATGCATGAATACAAGTGCTAATTTTTTTTAATTAGAAGTCAAGATAAAACTAAAAAACCAAAAGTGGCAAACTTCGCCCTCATTGAACCTAAACTCTTCCGATATATGCAGTTCATACTAAAAACATTCGAAATCTTAACCATGAATGTTCGACGTTGTAAATGCTTCAGCTCTTGAGAAATATCATTTTTAGCTGGACTCGAAAAAGGCAACCTCTTTTTTCCAACCTAGTAGTTCTCGTCTTTCGCAAGCGCCAGCTGCTTGGTCGTAAGCAAATTACAGTCAGATTCTAATTTTTGCTAACTGTTATATATGAATCTTCTATTTTTTCAGATTTTCTTTTTCCACAAGAATAAAGTCAACTTCACCATTCTAAGCATAAAGCTAACAGTCTGCAACTTTTCAACTTCACTAAAATTCAAGCGACCTGTATCCAAACGTTCTTAGAACGTATGATTCCACATTTTACAGCCACGTTGCCCTCACCTGTACTCTGGGGCAAGATAATTGACATGAGCTGCTTGGTGTGGCAGGATGTATGCAGCACGACTGGAGCCTGTGCAATTTACGATACCGACGAGCTGCGAATTCGGTAGGCATATAAGTTAGTTTCGTTGCAATTTCAATAGTGCAAGTTGCGTTTTTTCTACATTTCAATCACTTCGACATGGTTTGAGAAGTATCATCTTGATTCTGCGCACCAAAACATCTGAAAAAATGTGATTTATTCAAAAAAAACATCTTGTCTATGCAAAATTGATCGGTGAAAGCGCAAAAACACTTTTTGACAGTCTCTTCAGGCATTCTAGCATATTCTGATCTCAAGCATATAGTCTTTTTCAACCCGGAGTAGGCAAAACATTCCAATTGGAGCAGCGCGTCCGCACGTCTACTGGCTCAAGAGATAGATTGGGATGAAGAGACGCAGACTGCAAAAGCGAATCGTTGGTAAGGCTGCGTTCATACTGATTCCCATGTTTTGGAACTGTTCCCGCACAGTTCTCGCACTGTGCTGAAACTGTGCGGGAACTGTGCGGGAACAGTTCCAGAACTGTGCTGCATGCGCTGCAGCCGCCCCGCACCGTTTTGAACGGCGGGAGTTGGAGAATTTTGACCGTTCTCAACGGTTTTTCTTCCAGATTTCGCTCATTTTGGCCTTAATCCTCCACCCCGCTTCCCTTTTTGATCAGCAGCACTGCGAACTCGAAGCGGGGTTGAAGAATGAGCGCTTTTCTGCGCCGTGTATTCGGAAAGATGGGCTATCGTGCGATTGTTCATTCTGTCTTCTTGTTTTTTGCTCAAAACTACTTCATTTGTTCCAGGAAGCGGCTGCCCAGTTTCCATAGCCATCTGCCACAAATTAGGGAGTAGGAGAAATCCTGAAATTGCATGAGTTGGGACTTGTCTCTTGTTTTTCATGATTTTGGGCGTTCTTAGCCTTGTTCGTTTTCCATGTCGTTGCTTCTCCGTTCTTTCTTCTACCCCGCTTCTCCTAGTGATGAGAAAAGCTGTGAATTTAAAGCGGGGTTGAAGAATGGGCGCTTTTCTGCTCTGCGTATGCGACAAAACGTGTGTTCTTGTGCTCATCCCTTCTTTCTTCGCTCTTTTTGTTCAGACCTACTTCATGTGTTCTAGGAAGGCGCTGCGTAGTCTCGCATCGTATTAAAATCAAAATAGACAAGTCTCTAGAACGCATAAAGTAGGTCTGAACAAAAATAGCGATGAGAGAATGGACGAGCGCACGAAGGCCCAAATTCCCGGATACATGGAGCAGAACGGCGTTCAATCCTCAACCCCGCTTCAAATTCACAGCTTTTCTCATCACCAGGAGAAGCGGGGTAGAAGAAAGAACGGAGAAGCAACGACATGGAAAAACGAACAAGGCTAAGAACGCCCAAAATCATGAAAAACAAGAGACAAGTCTCAACTCATGCAATTTCAGGATTTCTCCTACTCCCTTTGTGGCAGATGGCTATGGAAACTGGGCAGCCGCTTCCTGGAACAAATGAAGTAGTTTTGAGCAAAAAACAAGAAGACAGAATGAACAATCGCACGATAGCCCATCTTTCCGAATACACGGCGCAGAAGAGCGCTCATTCTTCACCCCGCTACGAGTTCGCAGTGCTGCTGATCAAAAAGGGAAGCGGGGTGGAGGATTAAGGCCAAAATGAGCGGAAATCTGGAAGAAAAACCGTTGAGAACGGTCAAAATTCTCCAACTCCCGCCGTTCAAAACGTGCGGGGCGGCTGCAGCGCATGCAGCACAGTTCTGGAACTGTTCCCGCACAGTTCCCGCACAGTTCCCGCACAGTTTCAGCACAGTGCGAGAACTGTGCGGGAACAGTTCCAGAACATGGGAATCAGTATGAACGCAGCCTAAACGTACTCATGCCTGTCTAATTCGCTAAACTGAGTTGAAACTTACTTTATCGGCTCGATTGCCCGCACTTAGCTTTGAGCACTAACGCGCGAGCGGCTGAAGAGGTGGGTCTCGAAGCGATATAAGCTATTCACGGAAGATAGTGAGCGCGCACCCTCTTCAGGCGTATTTTCAAATCTTTCAAAAGTCACTTTCCGCTAAATCTAATGTGCAATGCTGTAAAGAACAAATGCCGACCGATTCATGAGCGAGTGAGACCACCTGCAGTGCTTCCCGAGAAACGCTTCCAAAGCTGGTATGCAAGGCACAGCGCGGGTGATTAAGCTTTACAAGGTCTACACAATTTCAGCGCGAAATTTTTGCTTTCCGTACTTCAAGCTGTTTTGAAACTAAGATGGGTCAAATTGATCTCGCCAGCCCTAACGATAAATATTGAATACTTCGTCGTGGACCAAAAGGCTTTGGGGCGCTGATTAAAATCCTCGTGAATGTGCTCACCCAATTTGTGGGTTTTGAACGCTTGGAAGTGATTGTTGAGCTTGTTTTATAGAAGCAGCACTTAAAAATGGCGAACGACCTCTCTCACATAGAAAATCAGTGCACAGCGCTTTTCAAACCAATCACACCATACTTGTAAATGATAGCCAGCTTCTTCAAAGAATCGTTTAGCAAGCTAGAGAAGACAACGCCATGATAAATATTCAAGCATCTGACCATTACTTAAGATCATAAACCAAATCTGCGTTTTATTTTTGTCAATAGCGAGGTATGGTATGGCCCCGGAATGCGGGAAGTTTTTCATCCGAGCAGTATTCTCGCACTTAAGTGATGTACCTGTCAGAAACATCCGGGCTCGCTACAATTACGAGCTTCTCAGGAGACCAGGACATAGTAATACCCCCCCCCCCTTTATCCAGTGTGCTTCGGATACTGAAACCGGGTCAAAAAAACTTTCGTAATCGAAGTTCGAAAGAAATTTGCTCCAACCAAGACCAAATTCTAAATTTAGGGGTTTTCGAGAATGCTATTTTCAGTAGTGAGATTTATTTGTTGCAAGGTCAAAGTTCAGCACCGATAGTGCTTAACCAAGATGAAAATTCTAATTTAGAGGTTTTCGAAGTTTCCTAGTTCAAGACCCAAGTCTATTTCAAAATTCCAAAATCGCATCGGTTGCCTCCAGTGACAGCCATATCTGCGATTCACGTGTCGGAGGGATTTGTCAAAGTCATAATTTGAAGTGTGTACAGAAAGGATCGGTGTGCCTTGAGTAAAGCCAGAATTACCCTCAGGCAAACAAGGGTGAAAAGCAGTTAATCGAATTTTTCTTATAAATGGCGGATGAATTCTTCTAGGTCTGCTATGAAGCATTCTGGTATTGAGCCAGCCTCGATGCCTCAGCGACCTCTGATATATCATGTTTGAAGAAATATTGGCTGGGTCATTATCAGCGCTGTACCTTGGAACATTCTTGAGATTGAACTACGGTTTCACATACTTATTCCTGCATCTGGCACTTCAATTCTATGAAAGTAATTCGATTTCTGTGAGGAAAACATTTTGTCTCCGAAAAAGTGTTTAAAAAATCAGTGTATTGATACTGCACAGAAAATATTATGTCGGTGCAAAAGTTTTGTCAGTTTTTTCAATCCAACAGCAAACAGGTTAGAATGAAGATAAACGAACAGATGATGTATCCGATGCAGAATTTCTTCCTCTTTCCAGATGCTAAACTCCCACTGTGTTTCGTTGCGAGAGTGACGAGATATTTGCTGGAAAATACAACAACTCGTTTTCACCACGTCCAACTTTCGCTAAATTTCAAAATTTTTGCATGAGACTTTTGGAGAAACCCTGATAACCAGCAGATAGGACAAACCTTTCGCCAACAGAAGCAATTTTTTGTAGCCTTGCGGCTTGTCTGAATTTCTACGATTTAATTTTGAATTAACCAAATTTTACATTCAGCCTATTGTAACCTCGTAGAACATAAGATGATAAGCACTTCAGTCACCAGTCGATGCAACTTTTTCTCCTTCTTCTAAAACTTGTCTTGGCCAAAACAGGCGAAATTTGTGGGAAAATCGCAGTATTACTCAATTTCAAGAGTGCACGCTGACCTAACCTATGTTTTATAGTCTTCACAATTTGAGCGAAAATCGCTCATACTTTGTAATCGTAGCGGTAGCAATAATCGATTGTTGAAACCTCAGTATTCTGTAGGTTTTGCAGTGTTTAGTGCAATAACAGGCTCTGTGATTTTTCCACATCACAAGACTTTTAGAAAATTGTGTAGCAGAAATCTGAAAAAGCAGCTGAAAAAAAGCAGAAAAAATGCCTAGGTTGGCAAAAGGCTTGCTCAATCTGCTGATATTAGGACTCTTCCGAAATTCTCATACAAAAATTTTAAAAAATAGTGAATTCTGGACATGGTAAAAACGAGTGGTTGTAATTTACAGCAAATATCTCGTCATTCCCGCAACGAAACACAATGGTAGTTTTGTCGCTGGAAAGAGGAAGAAATTCTGCTTCGAACACATTCTGAAATGTTAGTTTATCTTCATTCTAACGTTTTGCCGATGGATTAAAAAAACTGACAAAACTTTTGCACCTACCTAATATACAGGGTGTCCCAAAAAAATGTGAACACTGTTTGATCGTTAATAACTCCGTTGCTTTTATGTCTTTCGCCGAGCTTGAAGCACCATTCTGTAGAGCGAGGTTCAACTTAGATTTGCGGCATGGAGCGAATCACCGATCGCTCTTGATTACTGTAGGATTACGGTATGAATTTCTGGCATGTGGATCTATTGTGAAATATGCCATTTGACAAAATTTTTTTCGAAAAATCTGAAAAATCATGTACTAAGGGTTTCGCGCACGCTGATTCCAAAACGCACCTTTTTACGAGTGTTTTTAGCTCATATTCGAACTCAGAGGCTTCCACCATGTATAAAAGTTTTTGGCCTAGTTGGTTTTGTTCCGAGGCAGAATATGGCTTTCAACGGCTTAAAATCCTTGTCAAAATTCTTACCGTAATCCTACAGTAATGAAGAGCGATCGGTGATTCGCTTCATGCCGCAAATCTAAGTTGAACCTCGCTCTACAGAATGGTGCTTCAAGCTCGGCGAAAGACATAAAAGCAACGGAGTTATTAACGATCAAACAGTGTTCACATTTTTTTGGGACACCCTGTATACTAGTTACTAGCTGGCTTACCCGGCTCCGCCGTATGCTCCGAATAGAAAATTCCATTTCTTAACCGATTCGGACCAAACTTGGCACACTTACACTTCAGGCCCCGGTAGGTGTCACAGTCCACTTTTCGTTATCGATCGATGTCGACTTTATCGATTTTTTGCAAAATTTGAGCTAGGGGGCTGGGATTTGGCACAGGGGGGTAATCGAGCATGCTGATTACGAATACAATATTAGTTTTCGAAACCGTGCATTACTTTTATCGATTTTATCGATTTGCAAAATTTGAGCTAGGGGGCCGAAATTTGGCAGAGGGGTGTAATCGAGCATGCTGATCACCCCCACGGGGGTGATCAGCATGCTCGATTACCCCCCTGTGCCAAATCCCAGCCCCGTAGCTCAAACTTCGCAAAAAAGCGATAAAATCGATAAAAGTAATGCACGATTTTAAAAACTAATATTGTATTCGGAATCCCCATGCTCACTTACCCCCTGTGCCAACTCCCAGCCCCGTAGCTCAAATTTTGCAAAAAATCGATAAAATCGATATCGATCGATACGAAAAGTAGCCTATGACACCCGCCGGGGCCCAAAGTGTGTGTGTGCCAAGTTTGGTCCCGATCGGTTCAGAAATGGAATTTTCTATTCGGAACATACGTACATACAGACATACATACAGACATACAGACATTCAGCTTTATATATAAGATGGAAAAAGCGAGATCCCGTAAATCTGGACTTTGGCCTTGATGGAAAGGAAATTCTAAGAATTTTTGAATCGAATTTTGATCTTGTTTAAGCATAAGCGATGCTTAACCTTGATTTTGCAACCAACAAATCTCACTACTGAAAAGAGCGACCTCAAAAGTTCCTAAATTCAAAATTCGGTCTTGCTTGGAGCAAATTCACTTGCGAACTTCGATTTTGAAAGTTTCTTTGAAAATCCGATTTCAGCAACTGGAGCGACTCTGGATAAGGGGGCCGAGTGCCTGGCAGGCACATTACTTAGGTGCGAGAATACGTCTCGGTGAACTTCCGCCCCTCTGGCCCGCGAGCTGACTTTTCATATGTATTACCATAAAGCAAAAATTCCAGAATTCATGCCATTTACGCCTGTCTACGAGCAATATCTCTGTTCTCCGACGTTTGGGTGGTGTATTGGGCCAAAGGTCTCAAACTGGTCGAGGACGTTGAGGGAAAAAAGGATGACTTAACTTCAAAGGAACTTGAACCGCTAAATAAAGAGGAGAACGTGCACTCCAAACCTCATGTCCTAGACGAAAGACTTTTGAAAGACTGACTTTGCGATGTGAGAGTAATGTTAATCAGAGCGGGTAGGTTTAAAGAGATTGTAGAGCTTCTTCAAACTTTTCACCTGAGAATTGCGACTACTTTCTACAGATTTTGAACCCTGACTCTACAAAAGCATGGTGTAAACGCAGATTTTTTTAATCTTGAAAGTTTCCCAAACTTGAGTTTTCCAGCTAACAACTTGTTGCTCTTATTGTTAGCTATCTGTTACAAGCATGAAACCCAAAAATTGAGCTATAGTAAAAGCATTGATGTTGCGATGTCAGAATAAAGTTAATGCTCTTAGTTCATATTTTAAGTTTTATCTCCTGTCACTTGTGTATTATGTGTGAAATGCTTGGCAATATTATAAAGCAGAACATTGCTTTGATAAATTGATTCTCCCTTGTTCCTTCTAAAGCAATTCTTAGGCACAGTAAGCTTTCATCAAAAAACAGCATCCGTGTGCCTTTTCGGATCTCAACATTTTTCTGCTACACTAATATGGGTTTGAGTATAAGCAATAAATATCTGAGACTTTAATACTTTTCCTATTAGACCGGGAAGGACGTAGCTAGAAACAAAAAAATTGGGGCACACATAATTTAGGGAGCATACAGTCCGGCCTGAGCTCTCAAATTTTTTGATAGCTTTTTTGGGTTCATCGTATTCCTTTAAGATCTTGGCGACTGTACCTGTCGTGCTTAATAGTTGATAAAGCTCATTCACGCCTAAATGGTGAATGCTTCTTCCACATAGCAAATGCGCAGCTCTGTATGGCAAGCTTTTGGCTATAATATGCTATAGAAAAAATATTTTGCGATGTTAAAATCAAAAGTACTGAATTTCAGCTAAAAACATGTGTATTTGAATACAATTGCGCAGAAGATTCTAACCGTAGAATTCATTGAAATGTTTCATCAACCGAATCTAAATAAATGCAAACAGAATACTACAGGGTGTCCCAAAAGTATGTACACACTTTTCAATCGTCAACATCTCTCTTCCAATGGGTCTTTTTTTGCCATTCAAGTACCATTCTGTAGAGGGGGCTTCAACTTAGATTTACAGTATCGATTGAAACACCGATCGCTCTTCGTTACTGTAGGATTACGGTAAGAATTTCCAGCATGTGACACCATTGTGAAATATGCCATCTGACAAAATTTTCTGCAAAATATCTGAAAAATTGTCTACTAGGGGTTTCGCGCACGCTGATTTCACCACACAAAATTTACGAGTGTTTTCAGCTTTTTTGACGGTGTAATCACTCTGACAAGTACTGGGAATTCGGTCATTACGGTTCACCCGGGATAACTTGGGAAAGAAGCATCACAGTAAAGCGGAAATTTCAAACTCGAAATCAGCGGCTGCCACTGCCGTAGTATAGGAATTTTTTGGCTTGTTTGGCTTTGCTCCGAGTCAGAATATGGCCTCAAATGGGCTAAAATCCTTGCTGAAGTTCGTACCGTAATCCTACAGTAATGAAGAATGATCGGTGATTCGCTCGATACTTCAAAGCTAAGTAGAAGCCTCCTCTGCAGAATGGTACTTAGGAAGAAAAAGATACAATGGGGACAGAGATATTGACAATTGAAAAGCGTGTACTTACTTTTGGGACACCCTGTATTGGGAAGTATATAGTCTTAAACATAGTAACAGGTCTTTTCTGTAGCTTTCAAATCCGCTTCCAAAGATGGCCATTGGCACGTAGGTAACCTTCACAGATTCCTATTTTCCGTTTTTGAAAATAAAAGTTCTTGCACACGCAATACCACTTTCAGAATGTGCAAAATTTCCGTGTGTAGAGGAATTCCGGAATTTCCGCGGAAGTTCGCGAAAGTTCGTTTACAGTGTAGCAAACTACAAATGTACTGATGATTTTGACTCCAAATATGTGCCACATTCTCTACAAATCACACTGTCAAAAATGCCTGCTATACGTTTTCTAAGAATTGTATCTATCAAATACTTCTGCAGAGCGCAAAATACAAAATTTCTAGTATTTACAATTTCTTTTACAGATACTACTAATATTCTACAATACTTTGATGCATACAGTGAAGAGGAGGCTTTGCACTATCATATCGCAGTAGTTACGTTTACTAAAAACTATTTTTTCAACAACTCAGAATGAAAGCTTGCGAAGATTACCTCCGTGCCAGTCTATTTGTATCCAGAATTTCAAATCTGAGTGCTACTGAAGCGCAGTAGGCACTGAGATTTAGGCAATACTCTTCCTAAGTTTCCTATATAAACATCACATTGAATTCGGTTGATGGAGCATCTTGAATATTTTTGATTTATGATTTTTCGGTTTCATTCGCGCAATCGCATCTAAATTTCCTGCATGCGAGTGCACTTGCCTTCACCTAAAATTACAAGATTTTTTCCTTAAAAGTTGCAAAAAGATTTTTCGTGAAGTTTTGTAGCCGAAAGCTTGCTCTATCATACTGCAGGTTTGCCCAGTGAGAGAAGCCGTTATCGTGAAGGCATAGGACGCATTTCACTACAACTGCCTGCCTGCCAAGACAGATGGACTCGCCAAAATTTTGAAGGGCTGCTTTGAAGCCAAAGGGGCACCCAAAATTTGAGAGCTGCGTTGAACAAAGGTTCGAATTATATGTGCACCACAAGTGTTTGAGAACTTTTTCAGCTTTATCTGAAAAAGTGTTAGGGTCCCAGACTTACACCGCACTTTGTAATAGCTGAAGCCTCCTCTAAATTTTAGGCGTCAAACGGCTGTAGAATATTCCAGTGTTCTCAGCTAAGAGGTAAATTGTGAATTGTGAACTCTGCAATATAATTTTCTTGTTTTGAGAGAGCACTGCTTTGATGCAAAGAGCACTGCAAAGAGCACTGCCTTCATCTAATTCGAAGGAATGAAATGAGGAGTAATGATGAAAATACGGGAACTTGCCTACGGCGGTATTTATCAATCTCCTGTTTGAATATGTGTTTCCGCACAGTCGTAATTCAGTCAAGCGTCCGTTTTGTGACCCAGCGGAAGCCGGTCATATCATGAAAAGTACAGATGACAGATGGACACTAAGAACATCATTCACCGTGACGTCACGGTGACGTCACACAGGACGAATGGGATCCCTCTCCGCGACGCGCAAATTTCTGCTCCGGAGGTGCGCCACTTTTGGGAGAGCCCCGAAGCACAAAAATGCTTGAAATGGCAGGGCTCCGGAGGGCGAACTGGCAATCCTCCGCTGGGGAAAGCCTGCGGCCCTGCCACTTCTGCTCCGGAGGTATCCCATCAACTGTCTGAAAATGCGCCGCTTTTGGCAGGTCGGAGCCAGCAACTCTCCGCTCCTCGTAATTAGCCTGGCGGTCACACCGCCGTCTCAACGGACATAAAAAACAAAGAGCTGTATTCGCAAAATAATAAACAGTTGATCACATATATTATCATTATTTTGTAAGTTGCACTACAATAAGCTTTTCACGCTTTTCATTTCTTGGAAAATGATACGGACATCACCCTCTAACTTCGGCAACGCAACTGAATCACATGATACTCCTCTATGGGTGCCAGTCCCATAATACTCCCAAATCGGTGCTAAACTTAGCAATAGAGCGCGATCAACATGGAGAGTGAGCAGTAAGAAGTAAAAAGTAAAGGAATGTGATATTAACGCTCTTTCATCGAGGTAACGAGGTAGTCACTTATATTGTTTGGATGACAAGCAGCAACGACTGTATGTAATCAAATTCTCGGTATTAAAGGGAAGAAGTTTTTACACTAGTTGACTTGCATGCAAGCGCTAAGAAAATACGTCTAGTAGTCCTTGTTTCAGCTGCCGTTGGTGGATAGCTTGGAAAGTTCATACTGTTAATATAACCGCTGAAAAAAAGGTTTCGAAACTGAATGATTTAGAACCGGAATATGTCTCAGATACTCAGACATTCTTTGAAGAGTTCTATGCCCATATTCAACCCAATCTAGCTTGTCAGGAACAAGGGTGTCGACTTCCCTTACCTGAGTGTGTAGCGGTGTCTTACATAGGACTGGTTATCATATTTATTATATACATAAAGATACAGAGAAGGAAAGGGGGAGGGGAGCAGCTAGGCTGCACGGAGTGGAGGTGACTGCCGTGCCAGTTGCTGGCACGAGCTTATATATGCGACTGAGTGTAACGGCTGGACAGTTGGTGGATGCTTCCGATAGCAAGCTACATCCAACTATAGGGTTACACAGCGTCTACATCCTGACATCTCCATTCCTTCGAGAAGCTCGTCCTCGAGCTTGTTGTAGCAAGGGTGATGTTGGTTATGGTATCATGGCAGCGGAAGGTGTTCGTTGTCGTTATACACGCGGAGTTAGGTAGGTGAACTGCGTAAACAGTTACGACCTCTCCTATCCCGGGCACTTCGAAAAGCTCGTCCTCGAGCGGAAGGACATCGATGGTCTTAGTTGGTCTTAGGAGTAATCGGCATACAACATTGGAAAAAATGATGTAGGTGGCTTTCCGTGCAAGACTGGCATGGAGTTCTTTTTAAAGATGGGGCAAAAGGCGGGAAGAATGGGATTGCATTGAATTACGGGTTGACATACATTAGTATTGTGCATTTTCATGGGTGATAAGCGAACATGAAGGCCAATCTTACAAAAAAAAATTACAAGCGAAAACTGTTTTGACGGGGTTGCTCAGTACAACAACAAATCAGATCTTGAATTATCAGCTTAGACTGGTTATGAATATAGACCCTATGTAAATATACATACATGTATTTCAATCATAGTTCTATCATAGACGTAGGGACAAGTGTGGAAGTAGTGACAACATTTATGCTACTTTCTACACAAGGGCGAAATTTTAGACTGCTACAGAATTGTTTTGTACGCTGCTTGATAAAAGGAACTTCTTTGGATCGCCTTTCCAAAGAAAAGAGATGCGATACGCAGCGGTGCGGCCAAAAAAAAACGAAGAGGTAAAACTTACCACAGCATGGTGATGCAAAACGTTCAGCATTTCTTGCATTTTTGCTAGAGAATTACTAGGTAGTCGAAAGAATAATAAGAAGTCCGAACAACTGTTTTTTTTTCATTCACTGCTTTGAAGACTGTAATTATCCAAAATTGTTGACATTTTTTTTTCGTGAGTGATACAACAGAATATCCGAAAAATCGTGTGGACGCCAACAATTTTTTTCAAATTTCTTTTTGCAATGAAGTATTTTTTTTCGAATATAAGAAGGACCATCAGAGAAATTCATTCATTGCGAATCATTTGCTTTCAAATTCATTGCGATTCATTTGCTTCAGTGAAAAAACCTTTTTTTTAAAACTCGATTTGCGCAAAAAGTGTTGATATATTCGCAAAAAAAATGATGCAATGAGCTTTCTAATTC